GTTAATGAATTTCATTTAAGATAAAAATAACTATTGCATTTGCATTTAAAATAGGGCTATTTTATTATCCTTTAGGTATAGTATGTGTAGATAGCGTAATATGTTTTTTATCAATATAGTAAGAATGTTTGATAAATAATGCAGCGCCATCTTTGGGGGAGTAGTAGGATGTGATGTGATGTGAAATGTACACGAACCGCACTAATAAATTTTACGTTTGGCCATAGCCTAATATATGTATTGATAGATGGCGCTGATGCTTTTCAATGAAGTCATAGTTTATTTAGCTGATGACTAACTAGATGGCGGCGTTCATTAATAAATAAAGGCTTGTGTTATGGATACCAGATAGTTGAGACTACGCAACGACATAACAATAAATACATATTAAATAAAACTATCTTTTCGGATTATTTTGCGAATTTATTTTGATTTTTGGTTCCCGACGTACATACATATTATAAATATAAATACCCATGACTGGATAGTCACTAGTCAATATGTCAAAAGTGTCCTCAAAAAAAGCGTACAATTTGAAATTGTACTTGAAATTGTGTGTTACATGCACCGAATTGTCAAAATATTCGTTAGAAAAATTCAAAAAGTATAAACAATTTAAAAAAAAGATAAAAGCGCCACCTATGAATATACCCTACAAATCCATTACCTAATTGCAGATTTTCTAATAATCATATTGTGTAACTTACGTTCTGAAAGCTATTATTTTTTAAAAATATTTTGCATATAAACTTTTTTAACTCTTAGGACACAAACACAATTTTTAACTCTTAGGACCTAAATTTAAAAGATATACTATTAGTAATATAATTATAATATATTTTTGACAGGATAGCAACATTAAGGGTGCGTTTTACTACAGGAAAATTAGAGGATCCCCGAAAAATGAAGGGATGCAAACCGTTAAAAAAGATTATTTTTAAATTTCTGGCTTACTGTGACATCCTATCTAAAAATGTTCTTTACAAATGTTGTAGGTCTAGTAAAAATCTACGACTTTTATTGATGACAGATTTTATTGTATCCTCAAAGTTTACGAGATATTTGCAAAAAAACAGTTTTTTAATTTTTTCTTGGTTTTTTATTGTTAATTTCTGCAATAATTTTTTGATTTTCTTGAAACTAGGGGAATATAACCTTCGAAATACATATAATAACCATTTTTTTTGAAATTGAAATGTTTATCCGTTTCCGAGAAATTTATATTTCATGGTCTCGGCAAGCTTAAAATCACCCCCAACTTCAAGTGGATGTTTAAATTTAAAATAAATTACGTTTAATTTTCAGATAGAGCTCATTTTTTTCGTCTTGCACTCTACTTTTTGAAGAAAAGGTGTTTTACAGGACGACCATACAACATTTTTATTTCTTCAAAAAGTAGAGTGCAATACGAAAAAAATGAGCCCTATCGGAAAATTTAACATTTTTTTTTATTCTTCTGCCTGTCTATTACCTGAATCAATTTTAATCAATTTTGGTACAAGGGTAGATGACACCATGGAGAACAAAGACATAGACTACTTTTCGTCACGAAATAAAAACTTGAAAGGGGTGAAATAAAAGTTCTATTTTTTGCTGCTACAGACATAATGATGAGATATACTTAATATAAAATAATTATTCAAGTAACATTACTTCATATAACAACGCTTACGGTGTTATATAAGTCAAGCGATCGGAATTGAACAGTAGTTAATATATTAAATTTAGGTTTATCAGTATGAGAGATATAGATGTACACATATGACACAATAATATAGATAGGTACTAATATATGTCTTGGGTAACTAACCTAAGCATAATTATCTATTTGTTTGTTGTGAAATGACACCTCGCGGTTAATTTATATGAAATTAATTGTTAATCGTTGACAGGTTATCCCTTAAGGGGGTGAAAAGGGGGATGAAAGTTTGTATGGGGAATCAAAAATTTCTCAAGTAAGATATATATAACTCACAATTTTCTTGCATATTGTTTTGAGGTAGGTATCTCAATTTAGCCAGCGTTAGACATGTAAATTTCTAAGGACGACTTGACAGAACCAGTTATTGTGTTTCAATGCCTAACGTAAAAGATATCCTAAATTTATTTTTAAATCGGTTCAGTAATTTTTGTATGAAAAGTACACAAGTATATAGATAAACGGACAAAAATTTCAACAATTATTGTTTTCGTAATGTACTTATGTGTTTCGTGGTTTTCGGTCTTTATTCTGCACACAATACCTACATAAAAATATAAACATAGGTATTGAATTTGGTACCTTGATTTTTTTAATTGAATTTAATACAATATGAAGTAATAAAACGTGATACTTTTGAGGTTAACATTTCTAAACTATGGGAGAAGTATTTACAAGTGACCTAATGGCTTATATGTAGGTAGGTATATCGTAAATAATTAAAGATACGAAGTTATCGCTTGTATTCAGCCCTTTTTAACGACCCACTGCTGGGGGTGGGCCTCCCTTCAGTACGAGGGGAATCAGGCCATAGTCCACCACGCTGGCCAAGTGCGGGTTGGCGGACTTCACATGCCTTTCGAAAACTTGTTAGGTTCTCTCAGACATGCAGGTTTCCTCACGATGTTTTCCTTCACCGTAAGGCAAGTGGTAATCATGTTAGAAATGATTCGCACATGAAAAAAACAGAGGTGCGAGACCCGTAATTTAAACCCGCTTCACTCGGTTTCCCAAGCGAGCGCGTTACCACTGGGCTACCACTGCCGCGCTTCTATCGCTTACATAGTTTTATCTAATACTTTTGAGACCTGCTGAATAAGTCCCACTCTAATTACGAATTCAATTTTCATCACACACGATTACAATAAAATTACAATTAGCGCGTGTGGGAATGAAGACCCTCTAACAATATCAATTACATGCCTCACGCTGTCCGTCTGTAGATTTCCCCTGATATCAATTCACACCATCGATCTAAAGCAGCCACGTGACATGTCAACACATTTTACCATTCATCTCATTATACTACGTATTGTCAAAAATGTTTCTCATTAAACATATTTAATGAAATCTTACCTTGGATTCTGATTCAGCGACCCTAAAAAATACAGTAAACGTAGTCAGACCCCTGGAAAAAAAAAATGGTATGCCTGTGATATTTTCTTAAGACCATGTAACTATATATGTATTTGTTCATATGTTTTATCATCGGTAAGAAATCCTTATTAATTATACCCACATTTTTCTTTTATTTCCAAGGTTTATCAATATTTCCTAGCCAAAGTCTGGTATATATAATAAATAGTAGCTAGTTATAGCGTACCTAGTACCTCCTTATTAGTGGATTTAAAAATGGGTTTTGATTTTGGAGCTGCTATTTCGTAATCAAATCTTTAACACGCCTGATAGTCTTGTTATAAATAAAATTTATAACTGGACAGCATCAAATGCTTTACGGTCTTATTGTTTAACACTGTAGAGAATTTTATGCTGTACAAATGTAAAGCGCTTCATTCTCCATCTTCGATCAACAATACTACTGTTCATTCTCCATCCATTCCAGGCTCTCATTTGAGGCAAAAAAAATCGTGACCTACGACGTAGGATAACAAATAAAGTGGTCACCAGATTAAATGAAACTTTTAAGGCAACATATAGAATGCAAAAAATAGGTTTCAAGTTTATAGCCGGCGTTAAATTCTTATTTGAGTAGACGTGTAGGTAATAAGAAATATACTCAGTAGAAAAATATTAACAAAAATTGTAATATAAAATACCTAGTTCATAAGCACTTATATATGTACCTTTTTCGTATATTTTTTGGTATTATAGTTTTACTTATAAAATAAGGTAAGGTTTGTTGTCTTTGCTCAGTGTTTTTTTTGTTTTTGGGATAATTAAAAAAAAAGAGATTCTTGTTTCTATTCTCACAATCAGACCAAAATTTTTACTACATCAGTTAAATATTACCACATCAAATCTTTCTGTATATTAAATTGCAATTTTGTTGTATAGTTAGTAGTAGTTATAGTAATTTTGTCCTATACCTTGTAACTCAAAAAAATCTTTAGTTACTCAAATATTCAGGATTGTATAGGATAGCCTTAGTTAAAAAAATATTTTCAAATTTTTCACTCTATTTCTTGTAAAGTTTAGTTTTAATGCAGTGTTTTTTTCAAATGTTGATTTCTGAAGTTATAGGTAGTATGTAATATGGCTACAATTAAGTATGTACAAACCATGCAGAGTTGTGAATGTAGAGTAAAACTACGCTGGAAAAATCGAGCATGTGTGACTGACGTGACCAAATAAGAGTTTTTATAGGTTTGCTGCTTCGAAGTTCTCTATGCAAAAACTTTTACTGGGTATTTTTTACATTTTTTTTACTGGCAATTTAAACTGGGCATGTTCAGTAGCGAAAAGTTATAGGTATATTTATCTAAATGTGTATAATTTTTGGAGCAATCATTACGAGAATTTATATTAAATAATAATATTATTACTATTAACAAAATAGATATCGTGCTCTTACTCAGTGTAATAATACAAAACCAAATAGTTTGCACATTATTGACTTTATTAAAAATGTATAGCCGAGAGCAGGAAAATGTCAGTCTGGCGTATGGGGAGACTTGAGTTGTCCCTAGAGATTTCAAACGAATTCCCGAAAATGGTACTGCACCTGTGTACCTACTCTATATCGATATATTCATTTATCAATAAGCAATGCATTTACTATATTATAAAAAACGTTGTAACAATCGCGGTATGTTATTGTGATATTTTATTTAAAAGATAATTTCGTAATTCCACAGATAGCTTTAATCTTACACCTGCGTTAATTTTTGATAACTTATCGATTTCACGACACATAACGACAATTATTTTATACACTATTAAGGCAGGTAGATTTTATTCAGTCATTTAAGTTCGTTTGGTGGCTGTAAAGGTGCTGCGCTACCATGACGTTAATATAAGTTTTACAGTGGACTTTAAAGTTTTTTGTTTTTTGGGACTTAAAATGTGGCTATCGAAAATGATTACACAGTTTTTATATTTGTTGTTGAGTCTCTCGAGCGGTGTTTCAGCAAGATGTGTTATGTATGGAGAATGTGCAGTAATAAATGGCTTTACGAAATCTTGTCCTGTAACACACGAGGCGTTACCTGTGCTTAAAGACTTGTCAGCACTACAAAGAACCGAAGCAATTGACATTCTTAAGGCTAGATGCCCTAATCTATTATATGATGAAGAAGGAAATCAAAAAGAAGACGATGATATCGTTGCGTGTTGTAATTTTTCGCAACTTCAAAATATGGCCGAAAGTTTATTATTGGCTGAAAGTATCCTTGGACGTTGTCCGATATGTGTGCGTAATTTTGCTCGGCAAATCTGTGAAATGAATTGTTCTCCAGAACAGTCTCGGTTCGTGAGTGTTAGTCAAGATACTGCACCTGACGGAACTCCTTATGTTAATGAAGTAAACTACACAGTCTATAACGATTTCATGATAAATGCGCATGCTTCATGTGCTGGAGTTATAGTGCCTCAAACGGGAGCACCTGCTATATCCCTCATGTGTGGAAATGCACCGGTGTGTGATGCAGACGCTTGGCTTGGCTTTACCGGAGATACATCTATAAATCCCTTTGCTCCCGTCCAAGTTAACTTCCTTAGATGGCCTACACCGGAAGATTCAATGAATGCCATAGCACCATTGTGTAATGAAACTATAGAAGGCGACGTACCATGCAGTTGTATTGATTGTTATGCGAACTGTCCCGTAAGTGACCTATCGGCAGTTGAAGACATATGTACAGTGCTATCTGTTAATTGCGTTGGTTTTTCAGTAGGAATTGTATTTTTTGTTATAACTTTTATTATTTTTACAGTACTTACATTATTAGATTACAAAAAAAAGAGAAATGTTAAATCTGCAAACTCTGTTAGTACTTATAGGTACAAGGTCAACTTCTTAATTAGAATATTTCAAAAATTATTCCAAAGTATTGGTGAATTTTCAGCAAGTAATTCCATATTAGTTATAATGGTTACAACTTGGATTGCATTTGCCATGTTATTTGGAGTATTCCAAATTAACTTAACAGCAAATCCTCTAGAACTTTGGTCAGCCCCAGAATCTCGTAGCCGTCAAGAATTAAATTATTTTAACTCTAGGTTTGGTCCCTTTTATAGAGCTGCTCAAGTATTTTTAACATTTAAAGGACTAGAGCCTTTTGAACGTAATAACATAACGTTCGGCCCAGGGCTAAGATTAGAAGCAATACAAGAATTAATTACGCTTGAAAATGAAATCATTAATATAGGAAGGGAAGATAATTCGGTAACACTTGAACAGGTGTGCTATGCACCGTTACGTACAGCTAATAGTGAACCAAAATTTGAAGAATGTGTATCAATGTCAGTATCTACATATTTGCCCGATAGAAACAATATCAACAATAACACGTATTTAAATGACATTCAAAATTGTCTTAACAGCTATCTCTCTTTAAATTGCTTGGCATCTTGGGGCGGCGGAGCTGACCCGGAAATTACTTTAGGCGGATATGAGGGTGACAATATATTGCAAGCTAATACATTGCTTATTAATTTTCCAATTAAAAACCATTTACGCGAAGAAGATTTAATACCTGTTTTGGAATGGGAAAAGAAATTTTTAGATCTAATGTATGATTATGAGCATAATTGGAAATCAGATTTTGTCGAAGTTGCTTATGGTGCAGAGCGTTCCATTGAAGATGAAGTTGAAAGAATTTCTGAAGCCGAGGCTCTTCCTATTTCTATAAGTTATATTCTTATGTTTGCTTATGTTATTTTTGCACTAGGAAATATTAGGAGTTTAAAAACGTGTTTAGTTGATAGCAAAGTAACAGTAGCTATATGTTGCATTGTTGTTGTACTGATTGCAATATTTTGTGCCATGGGTTTGTTAGGTTACTTTAATATTACAATAACTCTTTTAGCTGTTAATGTCATTCCATTTTTCATATTGTCTGTAGGCATCGATAACGTTTTCCTCATGCTCAGCGAAATAAATACTATCGAAAATAATTTAAAAAATTATGACGAATATAAAGACAGTTTATCTTTTCAAAAGAAGAAACGTTTTGTATTTGGTAAAATGATGAACAATGTTGGACCATCAATGTTTGTCTCTTCAATAACACAAATTACTTGCTTTTCTATAGGAAGTCTTTCCAGTCAGCCGGCAGTTAAGTCATTCGCAATTTTTGCTACATTTGCACTAGGATTTCTGTTTCTGTTTCAAATAACAACTGTTGTAGCTATTTTAGCAATTGATTATAAAAGAAGTTCTCAGAATAGGTTTGATATTCTATGTTGTATTCGGAAAAAAATATTAAATGACGAAGAACCTCTTCAAGATAATAAATATCGAGGTATTACTGAGAGGCTTATGGTGCCGTACGCCAAGTTAATTTTAAACTGGCGGGTCAAAATAGCTGTTGTTATTATTTTTATTGGTTTTGTCTCCTCTTGTATTATTCTTATCCCACAAATTGAAGTGGGTTTGGATCAAGAAATGGCTGTGCCACCGGATTCATACGTTTATAGATATTTACAGGCTGTAAATCAAATATTACGCATAGGACCTCCAGTTTATTTTGTTTTAAAAGGTGGCATGAATTTTACAGACTATAACCATCAAAATGTTATCTGTGGAGGTAGGCTTTGCAATGATGATTCTCTTACAACACAATTATTTTTAGCGTCTCGATATAGTGAAATAACATATATTGCTCGCAGTTCTAATTCATGGTTAGACGATTTTTTTGATTGGGCCTCGTTACCCGGCTCATGTTGTAAATATAATTCAACGGACGGTAGTTTTTGCTCTAGCTCAGATGACTCTCCAGAATGCAATTTTTGTTCAATAGATAGAGCTCCTTATGGTAATGGCCTAAGACCTGCAGGTGACGCTTTTGAGCAATATATTCCTGCCTTTTTACGAGACTCGCCAACTGAAAGTTGCAACAAAGGTGGACTGGCAAGTTATTTTAGTAACGTTAATTATGTACTAGATTCTCAAGGAAAAGCTACTGTTCACGATTCTAATTTTATGACGTATCACACTACTTTAGTTACTTCTAAAGATTACATTACTGCTGTGAAGTATGCGTATGAAATAAGTGATAATATAACTAGTGCAATTCATAAGCACACTGGCCTAGATGTTGAAGTATTCCCGTATTCTGTTTTTTATGTATATTTCGAACAGTATTTGAATATGTGGCCAGAGGTCTTCATATCTATAAGCTACTGTTTAATTGGAGTTCTTGTCATCAATTTGTTAGTGACAGGCTTTAACGTTTTGACTACTTTTGCTTTGATGTTTACAGTAATGATGATCGTGGTTGAAATGATGGGTATCATGTATTTGTGGAGTATTCCTCTCAACGCTGTATCGTCTATAAACTTAATAGTATCTATTGGAATAGCGGTCGAATTCTGTAGTCATATGGCCTATGCTTACGCTACAAGTACACGCCCGCCGAGCGAAAAGGTTATGGACGCCATTGAGAAAGTAGGTGCTACGATTATTACAGGAATCACTTTTACGAACATTCCTATAGTAGTATTAGCTTTTTCTTATACCGAAATCATCGAGGTGTTTTTCTTTAGAATGCTCATTAGTTTAGTTGTCTTAGGATTTTTACATGGAATGATATTTTTCCCTGTTTTATTAAGTTTTTTGAACGACATAAGATACAGATAAAAAGACTAAATAGATATAATGTTTACTGAGATTATCTGAGCTGTTTCCTTTTATTATTATTTTTAAATATCTACGCCTTGATAGCTATACATAAGATTAAGATCATACTTGTTTTATGTACATACGTATGTATATTGTAAATAGTTAAATAAGATTATAGAAATAAGAGATGGATTTTAATGGTTTTTATTTTTATATTCAACAATTATTGAAATAAAGGAAGACAATAGCCATTTCATTCATAATTTATAATGTAATAAGTATCAATCTATGTACATATATTAAGTTGTTTACTGTATTATATCAGCATTCACGGGCGCTGAACTTGAAAAGCTAAAGTTTTTATATTCCTATAATGATTCATATGAGTGAAAAAGTTTGCGATATAGTTAAATTCTGGCGTCTAACTAAAAGACCCCAGTGAAGTTGCTTGTTACTTCTAAGTATAAAGAGTACCTACTTCTAATATTGAATTTGTATATTTTTAATGCATTTTTTATTAAAACAGTTAATTATTATCAGTTATAAAAAATACATATATATGTCACAGACGTTTGTAAGATAACTTTTTGATATATTTAAACGGTTAATAATGAGTTCATGATGAACTGTTGTATGTAACATTTATTATTTATGTATTTACACTGAGATACTTACATTTCAAGTAGTAAAAATTATATATAGAAGTTATTAATGAAAAATGTAATACTAAATAAATATAAACTATAAATAAAAAAAATAATAATATTTTTTTTTCATCATAATATGCATTAGACTAGATTTACTCATTTCTCTATTTAATTTTAAGCAGTAAAAAAGGTACACCTACTAAAAATCACTTAAGGTATTTTTTTCCAGCTTTAGAGGTAATAATATTTAATTTTATTTGATATTGCCTTCGATCAACAATAATAATGTTGTTCGAAAGATATTGCTCTTAAAGTTATAACATATACATTAAGAAGAGATTAAGAAAATCAAGTAAACATTGACAAGATATTGCAAAGACAATACAATATAGAGTAGAATTGAGTATCTCTTACCTTTTGAAATCGGTCGACTAATTTACTTCTTTTCTGAATTACCACAAATGTACTGGTAATTTTCTTATATAAAAACATAATATCTGTATAAATATTATAAATGTGAAAGTTTGTGAGTGTGTATGTTTGTTACTCTTTCACGCCATAATGCCTGAACGGATCTGGATTACATTTGGCACAGGGATAGGATAACACATAGGCTACTTTTTATCCCGAAAAAATACGCGGTTCCCGAGGGATAGATTTGTTTTTGTTTTTCTAGAAACGAACTCAAGCGAAGCGAGGGTGAGCCGCTAGTATAACACAATAACTGTATTACATGTCAGACTCTAGTAACAGTTATTAAAGTGTATTATATTATTCATTCAAAAAATGAGTAACTTTTTATTGATAAAGGATTGTTTATAAAAAGTCACGTTTTTTAATTGATACGAGTGTATTTCACCTTTGTATTACTCCCGAAAACAGACTTTGTATTATAATTTTGTTAAGTATGAGAATATGTTTTAATAAGATCAGACTGCATTTTGCAAGTCATTTATCAAGCTTTATTTCTTATCTAATAACTAGTATCCAAAGTTGTTGTTCTGCAAATTGAATTGGTTTTTAAAATAGGTACTTAATAATAATATTTTCACAACAATATCTACATGAATAAAAACAAACCTTACATAAGTTAATTACGCGTCCAATACATGATTGAGATAGGCGATATAACAAATGGCAAGACGAAGGATTTCTATTTTGGACAGTTTCTTATCTGGGGGTAGAGTGGGCAGAAGTCTCCTGAGGGATGCAAAGGCGGCATTGAAAGCCTCGACCCTTATCCTTTCTCTTGTAGCGTGTGCTGTCCGGTATTTGAGAGTGGCTCTACGTCGACGTCTTCGTTCTTCACGAGATAGGCCAGCACACGGTGATCCGGCGCCACTTGACAGATATGCCTCCTCTGAAAGAGCACACGGCTCTAATGTTCTGTCTCTGTAATATAGAAATAATATAATATAATAATATTATTTTGCAAAATCTATATTTTTATAGGATAAAAATGTTTATGATAGTAAAGGATACTTAAAATATTAAGATCTTTTAAATAGTACAAAGATATGCAAAGACGGACTTATCATTGAAGGCGATTTTTTACAGGTAACTGATAATAATCGACTTGGCTATATGATAACAAGTAAAAAGGTGCATAAAGTATTGTAATATTAAAATAATAGAAATGTAGATACACGTATCTTTTATAGACATAATATAATAACTTTATTATAATATAATATTACACATAATATTTGTGTACGTAAAACGTTATGATATCAATATGTTAACAATATTTTATCCAATAATTAAAATTATTTGTTCGAACCTATTATATGTACCTACATAACCATAAATATTTAATCATTATGATTAATATTTGAGTATTAAAAAGATTTGAAAACTATTTTTTTTTATAATTTTAAATAATATATTTTTTAATATTTCAATTTATTTAAATTGCTATAAGGATTTCGGCTGCTAGGCAGCTACACGATCATCAAAGAGAGTAGGTACTATGTACCAAAAATTCTGTCCTTGTATAAGAAATAATAATCATATAATTGTTATAATAAATATATATATTGAACCTAAAAACTAAAAATCTTTATTTTACTTATTTTCTTGTTTATATACCTTTTCCTAGGTGCTAAATTTTCTCTACCAGTTATTGGCAGTAAGGCTTCCCTACCCTCAGCCAGCATACAAGGCAGAGACCCGTCTTCCATACTGCTGGCGGTCTCTAGCCAGCTCTTCATAGTGATTCTAAAACCAATATTTAGTACAATAAAATAACTAGTATAAGGATATATTTAAATAATTAAATTTATCTCCTTATATTTATTTCTTTAATTTATTTATTTAGTTGAATTCTTTTTATTAATTATTAAATACTATCTTATCTTATTTCTTCGAAATTCGAATATACATTATTACTATTTTCAGCTTCATCTATATTCTTAATAGATGAAGCTAAAAATAGTAATAATAAATAAAAAAATACCAGACATACTGATAAAGGTAAGTATAATTAAGTTCAATACTGTTAATTTGCAGCCAAAAAAATATATTTCTCGCTCTCTATGTAGCGTTGGTAGAGACAAGTAAGATACTTAAGAAACTAGAAACCCTTTCCCGCAGTAGACACGTTTGTTTTGATTCCTATCAAATGAAATTTGCTGGCCGCAGGGTGTGGATAAATAATACATCACGCGTTCACACCTCGCACTAAGCGAGCTCTTTAGGGGATAATAAATCCGTATTTATTCTTTTTATATCACCCCAACCCCCAGTAATCGAATCATGTTCGCTCGCCGTATCGAATCGATTGCGAATTTCCTGAACCCTTGACTTTAAGTTGCGGAATTCGGTAAACTATTGAGAATATACTTAATATACTTAGTTATATATACGAAACATATGTACACTTAGTTATTACTGTACAAGTCATGTCCGCGTGGAAAAGTGGCAAGAATGCTAGCCGCATTCCCCCGTTGAATGGCAATGCCGATTCTTTGGGCGAAAAATGCGCCAGCCTATTGAGCATTATAATTATTAATATTGATAGTTACTCATAGAAAACTAAATGATGAATGAGATAGTGTGTAATATTTTTAATCGAAAAAGATCTTTCCAACGGAACTGGTTGTTTTATTAAATAAGCTCCTGATAACACTTCTATAAAATTATCTGAAGCTGTGGTAAATTCTGGAATAGGTAAATTCTTTTTATAATTTCCAATGATTGACTAAAACCATTATAAAACTGATTGGTGCTGGTCAGACACAGCTCTTGATCCTTTAACGGTTTATAATTTATTCACATTTGAAGGCATTAGAAGTACAGAAGTATTCCACATCTTAACTCACCCAATTACATTATTACAACGTTAAAAAATGAGAACTCATAACTACTTAATATTTCTAAATTTCATGAAATTCTATGAAAAAATCTTTTATTCAATTATATAAATAATGCACTAGGAAAAATCCAAATTATTAATATAGGCCTGTGTTAATTTTTTTTTATAATTTCAATACTTTTTAATTATAAAGGACCCAATAAACGGGGTCAAATTTATGTGTGGAAAATTATTGTATTATTTCAATAATATTATATTTTTTTTATAACTTTTTACCGCGATCAAATATCTCATTTCTGAGAAAAAATACAATACTGCAATGTAAGAGTATACTAATATGTAAAACCCAAGGATTTGGTTTTTGGTCATCTGAACGCGGGCGGAGCGGGCAATGCAAGTCTTTAAATAAATTTCACCGATAGTCGCCGGACTTGTCAAGTAAACTCGAATGAAATTAATTATCACGCGTGATTGGTTTAGGAAAACTGCGACTTCTTTTACACAAATGAAAATGTATGGTATATGTAAATGAAAACATATCGCTGTTTCTACGTTATTAATTAATTACTCATACATTGAGTATAATTTACATACAGGATAAAGTCTTATAAAAGAGTGAGTGAAGAACGGTAAAATATGAAATTGTGGCAGTATATATGTTTTGGTTGACTAGGACCTAACGTTCATTATTTACGACTAAAAAGTGAAGAAGAGAGTGTTTGTTAATTATTTTTTACACAATTTCTAATAGGAGTACGCGCAGGAGTTAAAGCAGTATCAATACAAACAAAATATTTTTTTTTCAGCGGTTGCTTAAATAAATTATATTTTTGATTCAGGCTTAAAAGTCTGCTCAGTATCATTTAATTAAATAGTTAAATATCCATTAATATAATAAAATAGTAACAAAGCGCAATATGTAAATTATTATTTTTTTTAAAACTATGACCTAAAGAGAAGATGATGACCTAACTGAACCTACAGAATATAGACCAAAAGCATAGTTGTTGAAATTTTTATCGGTATGTCTGTCTGCATTTAACGGATTTTAACTAACTAATTCTGGTCAATAGTTAACAATCTTACTTTTTACTACAGAAAAATCTCTTATTCTCGCGGGAAAACATAAAAACTACTAGTAATGTAATATATAATTAACATATTTAAAATTTTTTACATTGATTAATACAAAATCGTCGTGTGCCTTAGTCTATTTCTCTGTTTACTTCTTAAAACGAAATGGCTGACCTTTATGCATACGCTTACTTGGTTAATGTTTGCTAAACTTCAAGAGATATATATAGGTATATATATCAATACAATGTAGTATAAAATTGTACGTTTTAAAAAGGCCTACGGAAAGAAAAAGTCCACGATACTACGAGTATGGAGAGGTAAATAATATCCGTCTGATATACGAGTACCTACATTCAAATAGATAAAAATGATTCCCTAAATAAAACAAAAGACAACATTTTGGAAAAATATTTGTGAAGTCATAATTAACATTATTACAATTATATAACGTATTATATTTTATTTTTTATATTTAACAAGATTATAATAATAACTTACTATTTGCTTCCAAAGTTATTTCGACACATGTATTTAAAAAAAAAACAGTCCTATAAAGCACAAAAATATCACTAATAATACTTCGGACGGTTACATCAGTATCTTTCATAAAAACATACTGGTCCAGAGGCCAGCATCCCTCAGTATTTATGTCCTCTGAGGGGATGGTATCCGCAGAGAGGGCGGCGCCTAGAGAAGCTTTTCGTTTAGGGTACCACGTTCATGTTAGAAAAGCTTTAGTTTTAAATAAAATATACTTTTAAGGAGAGTACTATAAGTTGTATGTGGTTGTTTTTCTTAGCGTGTATGTTAAATACATTATTACTTTTATTTTGAGACATACGTATGAAAATTATAGAGACACATTTTTCATTATATTATAATGCATAGAATTATTTTTGGTAAATCTATACCTACTTACTTCTGTACAAAATTATATCTTTTTATATTTTGCAAAGAAATATAAGTAACTAGCGTTTTTACGCTTTTAACGTTTAGTACACATTTTTCAGAGATGAGTAAAAGTATCCTATATGTTGACTCGAATACCCAGCTATTATCATACCAAACATCAAAATCTGTTCAGTGATTTTCTCGTGATGCGTTCCCAGACAGACAGATAGACAAAAAATCTAAAAACTATAGATTCGGCCTCTGTATCGATAATAATGACTAAGTATTTCAATAAGAAGTCAGTTACAATTTTATAATAATAATATGTTCTGTAATAGATTGCGTTTTATGATAGCATTGATTGATTTGACAAAAATATCTACGAGTATTCAATTCAACGATATTTCAGAAAACAATGTATTTATAAAATCATAAATTAATAATCATGTCTAAGCCTACAAACGTATATAGGAAAAAATATATTAATATTGAAAAAAAATACAATTTTAATTTTTGTTTTTATCTCGCGCGTATGATCTCAACTCCGCCTCTCAACCAATCCGGCTGAGCTCCGCCCCTTGCCAGGACACAGGTGCCGCAGATAATTGAGCTGGTATAAACTTGCCAGATATTGGATCGATAACTTTACACCATATGCTTCTTGTTTATGTTTATTTAAAATCATAAGGGCAGGAAGGAATACCGCAATCTAAAGTTTATAATAATTTCTAGCGAATTACCTTCTCTTCACTCGGTTGAGTTTCTAGGTATCAAGTAGTAGCCTGTAGCCAAGTGCTACTAATCTTGCATATTAGTCTGTATACTAAAAATTCTAATCCATCCAACCTTTTCAGCGTGAATGAGTACACACATATACACACAAATTAGTCGGTCCAATGGTATCATCGTCAATCTTTTAAATTTTAAATATAAATACGATATATAATATACATATTATATTATGTAGGTACGTATTATTCTTGATTATTTTCTATTTCCAAGGAATTAAGCAACTTTTTAGAAAAACCACATTTATAGGTAATTACAAGGGTTAATTTTTCAAAATCAGCGTCTCAGCTCAAATCAGCTTCATTCGATTGGTATATTTCATATTAAAAAATCTTGTAAATAATGACTACATATTACTTTGATTATAAACAGATTCGTTGAATTTTTGTTATAAATATTTTTCACATAAAAAAGAAACAAGAAATAACCTCTCAATACATTCGGATTATTGAAACTTCATTCATTTCTTATGCCGTTTTCTCTTAAAATATTTTCAACAAAAAATATAAAAATGTGTACTAAGTATAATTAATGGCTTTTAAATATATAATAGTCGTCTAATAGTGCGGTTACTTTGGGGTTTTCACCTCTAAATGAGAGGTAATATTAGCTAAACATTCATGCAAACCGAGTTTTGATGAGTCAAAATTTTCCATAAAATCCTGTAGACGTCTTAAGGAACTAAGAGTCAAAGGTAAAAAAAAACTTCTTCAAAAATATTTTCCTTCGTTTCCTATGAGTTAAATGGTATGGTATTACGTCTATTATAAAAGTAGAGATTATTTATTAAGAAGAGCATATTTTTTAATTTTCCAAAATTGTTGTTTTAAACATTTCTTATACAATTACTAGTTTTTGAGATAGAGCGCGAAAAGCCTAAATGGTATAATGCAAGTCGACCTCGAATCACAGTAGGTACGATGTATCAGGCTATATTATTCATCTACGAGTATACGAGTAGGTATACATATAATAAAATTGTAACTAAGCCGAATCTGTACATTAAATATTTTTTCGAAAATCTTTTTGAAATAGACATTATTATCGATACAGAAGCCGAATCTATAGTTTTCACAATTTTTGTCTGTCTGTTTGTTACCGCAACACGAAAAACCACTGGAGGGAATTTTGATGAAATTTGGTATGATGGTAGCTGGTTATCCGGGTCAACTTATAGGATACTTTTTACTGCGGGAAAATATCTCATCTCTGAGAAGTCTATACTAAACGTTAAAACGCAACTAGGAACAAACCCGAGCGGAGCGCGGGTTTAAAAATATAATCATAAAAAAACTTTATTTTTATTTCATAATAGGTACTTATTAACTTATATAAAATTAAGGGTAATACTTTAAGCATATTAAATTAACTACGCTAAGTATACATAGGATAAATAGACTATGTGCACCCTATTTTCACCACCTTAAGAAATGATTTTCGGGATAAAGACTATCCTATGTCCTTCCCAGGATCTCAAACTATCTCCATATTCAATTTCATCTAAATCGGTTCAACGGCGTGAAAAGGTAATATACGGACAGACAGACATACAGACAGACAGACAAAGCTATTTTCGCATTTATAATATTACTTTTGGATACAATATCTTATCATTTTATTGGAATAAAAGATAAATTATTGTTCCCTATATTTCTTCCTTCTTAATTTTCTTGTTTTTCATCATGATCTTCATCCAATCGCTTAAAATTTTTTATTACCAACAATTTTTTTTACCAGTTGAATAATTATATGAAAATTACGACTTTTTTCGAACTTGATAAACTAGTATATTTATCAAACTATAGCAATTGAAATATACTTACTTGTTTATTCACATTAGGTACAACTCATACCTAGTAGTAAACTATACTTACTATGAATAAACCCGTCAAGTTTGTGTTTTCATTATCCGTTGTTTTTCTTTAGGATTTGTACTATAATGACAATAACATTAGCGCTTTTATATATTTTATGATATGCTTAAGATGGTCAGCGACTATCGTCTCGCCCATAGTAGGTCATAGCTAGGTTCTGAAATGTCGACGCTTGAAAATCCCCATATTGTTTCATTGTGGAAAAAACGTTGTACTTAAGGTATAAATATATAGATATAAATCCTAGATTAATTTTACTTTTGTCTGTCATAATAAATACTTTCTAAGTATTTAAATAAAGGTGAATTAATGTTTCGTTGATAACTTTTCAATTTTGGACTATTATGTATATTCAATACTACCAACTTACCCTTGCTTTGCTCGGGTGCATCCTTATGTACGTATAAAATAAATATAAATAGTTACTAGCCAGCGTTAGCCATGTAATTTTTTTTTGTAATTTCTTTTCCGATGTTTTACCTAATTGTTATTCTGCTATCGGGATGGAGACAAATCCAACAAATTAAAGCTAATAAAATTCGGTCCAGCCGTTCCTGAGTTAGGTATCAATGGTGTAACAAAACCGATATATTATGATATATGATATGAACCGGTTTATGATATATTATGTATATATAAATAAATGTACCAGATTTAGGTATATTATGAATAAAATGTTTTTTTTTTTAATTTCAAATATAACAAAGAGAGAGAATAAATTTTATAACCTTAATGTAAATTTAATGAGACTTTATTTTACTATCGACTCTAAATGGATAAACATTAAAACCGACAAACTTCAATACGAATTACAACGACCATTAAGCTCATGCTATGTAAAAGTTTCCTTCTAATATTTGTATTATAATTTATGCAAAGAATCATGTACCGGGCGGAGACATCCGCTAATGGCAGTTGGCATTTCAGTATTAATGCCATAATAATCAGCTATACACAAATACTGTACACAACTTGAAGGTCACGGTTATGGATTTTTTTTACTTTGCGATTTCTTATTTCATCTCTTATGATATTTCAAGAAATTACTTAATTTATGAAGAAATTTTCTTTGCAGTTCATTAGTAATTATATAACCCATGTAGCATTTAAAACACACTACCAATTATGTAACTAATAATAATAATTAGGGTTTAGAAAAATTTGTAGTAAAAAGTATATCTTATAGCGCCCGTAACATCATACCATTTTAATCGTATCTTATACGTTAAAATATCGTGTCGTTGTCGTCTACTAAACCATAGCATAAGCTAATTTTTCTTATAGTGACATCGCTTCAGAACACGCGACAGAAATGTTGAAATTTCTTTGTCATTGATGAATTTATTATACTTTGAAACAGAATATACGTACGTGAAAGGTCGACTCTCGTTCTCTATGTTTATGACAAAATGTAAATGTTCAAAACAAAGCGCCACTTGTAACTATTCGAAACACTTTGTACATTTACGTGCCTTGTTTGTTATATTTGATTATGAAAGACAAAGGTATTTGACAATCTGTACATATATTAAGTGACGGTACAAAACGACTCGATAGGCGTTGTTCTCTCCAAATTTCAATGTTTGAGTTCATATAAAAATCCTGTAGAATCCATAAAAAACACTTTCAATTCCCCTAGTTTCTAATTAATCTTTCCTTGGAAATCTCATAAAACGAACTATTACAAAAATTATAAATCGCAATATCAAACTAGCCGTTTCAATTGAAATAAACATAAACACATAAACCATTTCATTTTTATATATTTAACATTTTAAAACTACTTCATTAATTATAATATATAATATTAATACGCAGGATTTAACGTTCTTATCTATTTCTTCAATAAATGTATTGTTTACTGAATTCATAATAAAATCTATTATTATTAAAATTAGTAGAAAATAAAACTTTGACTTTGAGACAACGACTCTATTATAGCTAGCTAGCTAGCTATAGCAATATTGAGGAACAGTAAACGGGAATACCATTGCATGTAGTTTCAGGGAACTCGAAGTAACCATAGCAACCAAGAAGTTACGCCGATAGCATTTTCTAAATTTCCCGGCGGAACGCCCGCCATAAGTAAACATGTGACGACGTAGCTTTTCGACGTTTTTGACGTATTTACATCACTTTTGACACATATTGATAAATATTTGTAAGAATTTGTAAGCGCCTGTGATATTTTCGAAGTATTTTTACAATTTTCAAGCCGCTGCTACTGGACACATAAGAATGGCATTTAATTTAGAAAGCGGGCAGGTGAGTCTACAATAATAAATATAAATGAAATGCACCTAAATAAAGGGTGGCCCAAAATAACGTTGACAAGTGATTTTTAAAATAAATTTATTAACTTTAAACTTAAACGAAATTATGCTATAAATTATAAAAATACAACTTATTTTTTACAAGAATCCCTATTTGTCTTTAAAATAACCTCCTTTAGCGCGAATGCATAGAGTCAAACGCTTGGTAAAATTTTCCACAATTTTCCGCACTTCCTCAACAGATATTTATTCCCACTCCCGTGTAAGAGTAGCCTTCAGGTCATCAACAGTTCTATGAGACGTAGAACAGGTCCTTGCCTCTAATATTGACCATAAACTGTAATCCATTGCATTCAGATCAGGCGAGTAGGGTGGTCATTCTTTTGAGCTGATGAAATCAGGGAAATTGCTTTTGCACCACTGTTGAACACTTAAAGCTCTGTGAGCTGGAGCAGAGTCTTGTTGAAATATCCATGAATGGTTACCAAAGTGCTGTTGACTCCAAGGAATAACCACAGATTCAAGGATGTCTCGTCGGTAATTTTCTTGGTTTATTTTTATACCATTTTATAAAAAAACGAGGGGAGTTTTGCCAGTGGCGCAAATTGCACCCCAAACCATTATTGATTTTGCGTTTTGGCGACGTGGAATGACTGCGGCAGCTCCAGGACGAGTGGAAGACCAGATCCTGTCATTTTGGTGATTATGGGCTTGTTCTATCAAAAACAATTTTTCGTCGGAGAATACGATATTTTTCAAATTCGAAGCAGCGGAGCGTTGTTTAGGCAAACGACATCTCTCAAGGCGAACTTTTTTGTCTTTCTCTGTAAGCAATTGCGCTTTTCTGAGTTTGTACGGTATCAATTGGAGATCATATTTCACTATACGCTGCACGGTGGAGTGACTTATCCCCAAGTCTCGCGACATTTTTCTCACCTTGGTATGTGGATTTCGGACTAATCTTTGTTTGATAATGTGTAGGTTACTAGCAGTTCAAACAGTCCGCTTGCGTCCTCTCCCAGGACGGTCTCCAATGTTGCCGAGCTCAAAATAGCGTTTAATTGCTGAAGAAACTAGCTGACGACTAACACCAAGAATGTTTACTATCTCACACTGCCGTTTTCCACGCTCATACAATGAAATTATGGCTCCACGCTGCTCTGACATAGCATATTAAATATATTTTAAAACTTTTTAGCCAACAAACAATATTAAAATGGCGCCAAAGAATGAAGAAAGAATAAACAAAATCAAAAGAGAACGCAAGGCATTCCATTTTTAAAATATTATTTTTTTAACTTTATCAACGTTATTTTGGACCACGGTGTAAAATAAAGCTCTTGTAATAATTATTCCATGCCAGGCACAGTAATTACCTATTACGTGTAGATTTATGCATATACAAACTTTCATTGTAGTAATTAATGTAAGTATAAGTAATATTATAATATAAGTAATAATGACAGTGTTTATTTACGGGCGTAGTAGGTACTTATAATTTTATTTTTAAACGTTACAGTTTATTTCCTCACCTACCAAAAAAGCTAAAAGTTCATAACACTATAGGTACTAGGTAGGTACTATTTACATACCTACTTACTACAATATACAATGTACATTTTTACAATATATAAATTAAACTTAGATTATTTATATGTCATGTCATGTGAATAATCTAAGAAATTACATTAATATCAAAATTTGTTATATCTCAGGTTCTCAAGGTTATCTGTATAATCAGGTTAAGTATTTGAAGTTTTTTTTTAGATAAGACCCATTAATCTCGAAAAGATACTCTACCAATTAGTGACAGTATTACGTACTCGTACTATTTTTCATACATATATGTAAAATTTCCAAACTAAGGTTAAATTATTTAATGCTTTCATTTAAAAAGCTATTACCATGCTTAGATTCAATTGTGCGCCCTAAAGAGATCTGGGCCCAACTAATCCCATATATTTTAACGCTACTGCACCTGCAACGCCCATTACTGTCCCCTCTTTATCTGCAAGAAACATTTTTTTATTTGCGAACAAATTGTAATTCCTTTAATCCAACTTAGATACATCCAATTACATAGTAAACACGTTTTTTACGACATTCAATTATAGTAAAAGCTCTTATGACTCAGGATATAAAATAAGAAATTCAACGGCACATATTCTTGTTTGTAACAATTGTTCATTGAAAGGGGGTGATTCTATTTGTTAGGGAATGACTATTTTTCACGCTTTCGTGTACTGTGTTAATCCATGTTTGACGTCAGCCGGTGGTCTTTAGTTAATAGTTATCATTTATCTGTGTTGGGATTTTTTATGCCAACAAACTAAAGAGATAATAGAAATATGACTAAGCTTACATAAAATAAGAAAGTTATCAATATATATATATGTAATATAATATAAGCACAAATAGATAACAAAGTAATCTAAATCCTCTCATCTTCTATACTATAATAAAACAGTAGAGGTCGAATGTCTGTACATAGCAAAAAAATGCTAAAAACCGAGTCAGGGGGATTTAAGACGACAAATAGAACAAATCCAGACTTTTTTCAATTTTTTTGTTTCTCTGTCTGTTTGTCTGTTTGTACGGGATAATCTCCGAAACTATTGGACCGATTTAAATGAAATTTAGCATGGTGGTACCTTATATCCCCGGTTAGCATCTGAGATAGGTTTCATCCCAGAAAATTAAAGTGTTCCCGTGGGACAGTTAAAAAACTATAGTATCTTATACAGCTTAGTACACAACAACTTATGCACCTAATTTGGTAAAATTTAACATTCTGATACATTATGTTGCCGGTCAAACAACAGGTTACTTTTCATCCCGGAAAAATGAACGGTTCCCGTGAGAACTAATAGATCTCTATCAGTATTTTAAAAGAGTAACAAACATACACAGTACACTCATACCTACTTTCATTATAATTGTAGTCTGATAAATCAAGTATAATTACACATTGCTTTTGTATCATTAAAACTACATTATATAAAAAATGCAAAGTTGAGGTTTATAAGTATTTTTGTAATATTGGAAACGGTTATTGGTTAAGTTATGTTAATGAATTGTTATTCTGTATATTTTGTTAATATCGTTTGTTATTAAATAAATAATATGTAAAGAATCTATAATCTATTTTTATCAAACTCAGTTACAAAAAGTAAGAGTCGCGTGATTTATTTCCGGAAGTGATGCCGTGACATGACTAAATCCTTCTAAGCCCGAGCGCGAATAGCTAGGCGATATACTTCCTTCCTTGAAAGAGTTCGATAATAGATATAGATCTACGTTTATATGTGTATATTTGAGTATGTCAAAACCAAGGTCATATTTTTAACTAAAGTATGTAGGTATGTCACAATTTTTAACTAAAGTATGTAGGTATGAAACATTGTACGAATTGTATAGATATATAATATGTATAATAGGTGTCTTAGTTACTTAGTAGGTAGCAGTGGCGAAGCGTCCATACAAGAAGTCTTACCATAAAAATATTTTGCTATAATTTTACATACATTTAATTTTTTAAATGTATAAATGTTCTTTTAGAATATATATATATAATAATAGCTTTATTCTTTCTGCATTATACATATATATAAAAATTGTATATTTTTGAAACGGCTTACCTCTGCTAAAATTTCACCCTTCGGCACTGGTAGTACCTTTCCTCTACTACTTACTTTCTTTTTTTGATTATTCATAAACAGCTTGACGGATCTGGCTAGTTTAAAATGTATTTTGTTAAGGTAGATCTCGAGGTAATCATAAACCATCTTAACTTAAAAAGAAGTGAAAATCAGGAAAAAAATTATAAATATGTAAAAAATAATCAATTTATCCTATTTATAATAATCGCAATAACTGTTTGTAAGTTTATGACAATAGGTAGGTACTTTCAGTATTCCCTAAAAGCCATTAATAGGAAGGATAAATAGAGATAGATAATTAAGTATCATATAATCAACATGACGATGAAGACCAGAGGGTAATTTTTTACAAACTTCAAAAAATAGGAGTGAATGAGATGTGTTTTGTACTTGTATGTTATACCAGCGACTCACCTTCGCTTCGCTTCGGGTTCGTCCCTAGACAAAACAAATCTATCCCACATTTCATACATTTTCCGGGATCATATATAGCGTATAGCTTTCCTCAATAAACCAGCCATCTAAAGCAAAAATATTTTTTCAAATCAAATAAGTAGATCCTGAGATTAGCGCGTTCAACCAAACAAACAAATTCTGCATCTTTATAATATTAGTAGATAGATACGCGACATCATCACCAATTACGTATGTTCACAATCACAAACAAGTTTCATAATATTACTAGCATTACCCGCGGCTTCGCCCGCGTTCAAACTTTCGATCGTTACCAAACTTCACGGGATCACTCGCTGGACGATTTTGAAGATGGCATAAAAATTTCATCAAAGTCGCTCTAGCCATTTTGGAGTACATAGGGAACATACATAAACACATCGATTTTTATATATATTTTTATAAATTTAAGATCGCCCAGAATTAATTTAAAAAAATGTTATTCCACCGCTAAGAGTGTAATAATAATTATTTTAGGTATTTTTTTAGTTAAAAAGTTATGAAATACAAAAGCTTTTTGGTAAACCAGACATAATAATCTAATCTGTAACAAATTTTGTTGTAATCTATAATATGTACCTAATAAAATAAAGTTCGTAAATAGTTCATACCTATGTAGGATGCATAGATATAAAATAATGATTTTTAAAAATACTGGGTACTGGCCAAATTACATTATAAGGTTGTTGGATGTATTAATTTTAGGCCTTTCTTAAAATATCTTACTTTTGTGGATAAATTTCGTAATCAAATACAAAACTGATCTAGAAAATATATATTTAAAGAGCTTTGCAAAAAAAAATTAAATACTCTAAATGCCTTAAAATTTTAAGCACTGCATGTATAATAATATAATATTGATCTAATGTTTTATACTTTTAAAGCAAGGGTGTAACAGGATCATTATAAATTATTGTGGCGATTTAAATTGAGCCCAATCGTCGAGTGATGTATATGGGGTAAATAATAATTTGCAATCCTTTTGTTAGGAAAAGGGATCATAATTATGACTCCTAGACCAACGGCGCGTGCATAGACACCTGCTAAATACGGCGCGTGGCACTAATACTTGTTTTTAATATTTGATTTTACGAAATTATTATTTTCGATTATATTGTGGAATCATTTAGAAAATTATATGAATGCAGTTGTTTCAAATTAATTGCATTTAATTGGAAATTGTTTTATTTTATAAAAAAACTTTTCTAGTATAATAAGATGTTTTTGAAGACAAAATATTGAAAGAATCAGCCAAGTGCGAGTTGTACTCACGCACCTATATTTGCATTTAGCCCTTTTTTAACGTCCTAGTGCTGGGGGCGGGCCTCCCTTCTATACGGGGGATGAGGCCATAGTCCACCACGCTGGCCGAGTGCGGGTTGGCCGACTTCACATGTCTTTTGAAAACTTGCTAGATTCTCTCAGAAATGCAGGTTTCCTCACGATGTTTTCCTTCACCGTAATAAAAGTGGAAATCATGTTGGAAATGATTCGCACATGAAAATATCACAGGTGCGAGGCCCGGATTTGAACCCGCTTCACTCAGTTTCCCAAGCGAGCGCGTTACCATTGTGCTACCACTGCCTACCTGCTTTATAACACATAATTATAAGCATCTAAATACTAAAGGATATATTTCTAAAACCTCAAAATAATATATTTTTTTAACAAACAGTTTAACAAAGAAACCATGCCGAAGCGGTTGGGTAATTGGCAGGTCCCACGCTGGGCGCCAACTAGAGCTCGTCCTGTTGAAATGCGCCCTAACCCTAAGCCTATATGCGATATCAACGGTCGCTTTCTACCGGGAGCACCTCGTGGGTCATCCAAATGTTTCGGACACTTCACTGGAACTTGGGAATTACCAAGAAAAATTACAAGGAAAGTCGGTAAGTAAAATTATATGAATGTGTTACAATAAAAAGTAGGTAATGTTTGACATCGAAAAACAGTAAACATTCAGTCGTGTACGTGTCATGGTATGTTCGCAATATGACTCGCATTATTATATATAGGAATGGTCGTAAAATTTCCCTGTTTTATTTGTTGACACGGAGACTGTTTCGCTCTTGGATATCTTACGTGTTACGGAGTAGTTAACTTTTTGCGGATGTACTGTCGAAAAGAAACCTATAAACGACTAGTATACTTAGTTTACACGCGAATCATAAATAAACTATATTAAAATGGATGGTATTGATGTAAGTTGAACAAAACATAATTTTGTTTAGCTGAAGAATTGTCTAAGGAGCCACCGGATGGAAGATTTTCAGATTGGCTAAATCTTCGTGTACAGAGGCCAACAGCAGAACGCATGCGCGCCGGGAAACGCGGTAAAGCGACAGAGGACAAACAACCTATAGATGAACAGACCTTTATAGTAAGTGGACGATACTGTACGTGATTTTTGCATCCTTTTTGAATAACTATTTATTTATGGTAATTGCCGCCTCGTATGTAATAAAAAAATCCTTGGGCGACGCAGAGATAAAGTGTACTACAGGTACTTTCAATTTTATTTTATTTTTTTAATATAGTGTAATTACGGTTGAAACTTAAGTTTACCAAAGACACAATGTCAATGTTTTGGTATATTTATTAAATTAGTAATATGTTATTGTATCTGTATATATTTAAATATTATAAATGTGAAAGTTTGTAAGTATGGATGTTTGTTACTCTTTCACGCCAGAACGGCTGAACGGATCTAGATGAAATTTGGCACAGAGATAGATTAGGTATAGTCTGGAATAACATATAAGCTACTTTTTATCCCGGAAAAATGTACGGTTCCCATGGGATAGGTTTGTTTTTGTTTTTTGTAACTTTGAAAAATAACATACCTAAATGTTTGTTTTTTTTTGGATCTTGAGAGCATGTAGAGATATTAAATAAATAAGAATTACAATTTTTTTAATTTATAAAATTTAAAGTATAACTAACAAGGTTACTTTCATTATATATTTTTGTAGAGATATTAAACATAGAGTCAGCAACATAAAAACTAATACACAAAATATTAATAAAATTCGGAGTTGTTGAATGTGAGTCGTACTCATACATTTCTACCGTATTCACTGGACTACTATTACCATAGAAAAAGTTTGTATGTTCGTGTGTGTGTATGTATCTCTTCCTCTCAAGCTAAAAAATCTGGACTTTTTAAAAAGTCACCCAAGAATGATAAATTGTATGGAAATTTGATTTTTTTTAAAGTAAGACATGAAAATTGATGTTTACTTCTGTTTATTTTGTTGATTCTCCTCGGATCGGCTAATCGGGTTCATTGCTATCTTGTCAAGGCCAATTGTCAATGATAAAACAGTTACTATACAAATATACTGCTATTGTGCAGAAAAAAGGTAGGTACTGGTAGAGAGTACGAATATTATGTGTGTAGGTATAATTAGTACGTAAAATGGAAACAGCTGGCGGATTTTTGTAGAGCTGGATGATTAATATTAGATTTAAGATAGTTAATATTATGTTGTCACCTAAACGACCAAAGAAGATTGCTAAGTATCTACAGGTGTACGGATTTAGTCAACTAGATTAAATCATATTAATCGCGCCCGATAAAAAAATCGTAAATATTTTATTGCGCATTGATTCAATGATATTTACATTGTAGTTAGATAAGATTCAGAATATAGTATAATGAGAGGTCAAATTCTTACATTTTTTATAAGAACCTGATAAAGTTATCTACCTATATTATAATTGCAACATAATTTTATTCTCGTAAAAAGCTAGATGTTTTTGCTGTACTTCAGAAAATTCTGAGTGGTAGGGGAAATTTGTCTAGTTACTAGGTTTTTTAAAGTACTCAGGCTCAGTCCAGTATTGGGAAGACAGCGGTATTAACACTCCCGTGTCTCGCAGAACACGTTAAGCTGTCTGTCCTGCCCCATCTCTCACCGGTAGTGTCGAATTGTCGTTTCATAGAAATGGGAATGAATGAATGGGATGCAATTATTTTGTTATGCTTAAATATTTTGTAATTTATTATAAGATTTCTCATTATAAAAGTTCCTATGTGAGTCCTATACGTATTATACCTTCTTATATCGTCCTTACGTTATTTCCTATTAGTGTTTAAACAAAGTGTTTTAATATCTATTTGTATTTTATTTCAGCCAAATCAGTGTCCATATCATAAACATAAAAATAAGAAGAAAAGCAGTAATTACCATGAAATAAATAATTAGATTTTCTTCTATCTAGGGAGCATTAATTGGATTTTTTTAATTTTTTTTTTTCTAAATTATTGCATGTCTGTACAAAATTAAGGAACAGGATCAAGAATTAACAAAAGAGCCACAACAAACAAATTTAGAGCAAGCCGAAAATAATAATACAAACGAGAGCGATAAAGAGGGTGATTTATATTTAAGTAAAAATAATAAAGAATCAATTGATAGTGATGGTCATGGACCTTATATACCAGGATCTTTAACTGATCCAGAAAAGAGGCATGAAAACTATGACCTATTGGTAAAAGATGCCGTTGAACAGCTTCACGGGCCTCAAGAAAATCCCACCGACGACTTTTGGCGGAAAGTATCCGAAAATGCAAGAAAAAATGAACATATCCGTGATAATATGAAATATAGCAAAAAAGGCGAAACAACAAAACTTCCTTATGTAAATGTGGTGTCCCAAAACTTCCAATTTGCAAAAAAAATGCACGCTGGTAATTTAGAACACGAACCATTACCGGATACTTTAGGGTATCGTCATTTAACAAAGGTTGGAGAGCACCGAGACTCTGATATTGTGGTTAAACCTTACGCTATAGGGTGGAAGGGCTATGGCGCTTCAGGACCAACTTGCTGTACTAAAATGCGAGTCCACAGACCTAAAACCTGTGATCCTAAGAAAAATGGAACGAAAGGAGATGATCGAAAACAGCGTCCAGCAACGTCAGCAGTGGATTTAGGAGGACAGTACAAAAAACCTATGTCTTCAATGGATCTTGCCATTTGCTGGGACTTTAAAACTGATGATCCAAAGCGGGAACCTCGGCCACCAAAGCATATAGATGGATCAAACGGATCGCAAGCACCAGCGGTTTTCACTATGGTTCATACACCCAAAGAAGAAGTACATGAAACAGTGTTAGGGCACGCATACCCTATATTTAATCAAAATCGGAATTTAGATGACATCGGTCGTCATAGTGTTCCCCATTTTGAAAAAGACATGACTAAAGAGAAGAAAAAGGACTCATGCGATGTGCAATACTGCCCACAGCACAATGTGACTGATAAAAGTATCAAATCACGGTCATCTAGTAGAAAAAGCTCTGCGCAATCTGGAGACAAAAGTCTTTGCGATGGTATTAATGGTTGCGGTACTCTTTCAGATATAAGTCAAAACTATAATCGCAAAGATTTGAAACATAAAAATAAGCACGTAAAAGAAGCTTGGAGTTCGGATAACAAGCATGAAAATTCTAAATATGATATGAATCGAAATCGCCACAGCCTGGAATCTTATGAGAAAACACCACTGGCGCAAGGTAAGTTACATCAAAGTTCCCCGAATGAATCACAAATACTGAAACATTCTTCCAAGGAATCATCCAAAAATAGTGAATCCTCTAACATCAAACACAAGAACTGTAGTTCTTGCAACGGAGTAAAAGTATTGCAGGATAAAAAACAAAAAGACGATTATAAATTTGCCTTCAAGGCTGGGAACCCAAACTCCGTGCAAAGTACCTTATCAAACGATTCAAAGGAATTAAAGATACCCAAAATGCGCCATCCTTATACGAAAAAATCCTACACCATCCCAACTTTAGCTCCTCCATTTAGCATTTGGCGAGATGCTAATGCTACCGGCTATCCTGAGCATTGGAGGCTAGCGAGTGTGTACCAACATGCCTATAAACCGCCCGATCAACGACGTAAGCCGCTTATTGAAAGTGTCTATCAGTAAAATATTTTAGTTTTATGGAAAGGAATATTGTTTGCTCAAAGTTCCAAAAATCTATTTAATTAATGTAAAATTAAATTAAATTTGTGTAAAAAATGTCCTTATCATTTAGACTTAAACACCTGCGTAGGTATCTTGATTTTTATCAGCTTCACATAAATTATTTACAAGTATACTATTACTATAAATGGTAAAGTAACTTTGTTTATTTGTCTGTTTGGTTTTTAAAGCTAAACAGATTTAATTTAAAATTGATAGAAGGAACTTTGCAAGGATTTTTATAATGAAACCTAAAAACTTTATCATTTTTAAATTTTCATTTAGGTACTAAAATCTTTATAAGAACATTTAAAAACTTGGTTATGTACCTACTTATGTGGGATTTGTTCTCGGTCGATTGAAATAAAATCCAACTTATAAATATATTTTTTTAGATTATTATAAGATAAACTATACTAAAAATTGTATAAAATTTCAATGTTAAGTATTATAAGCAGCATTTTCAAAAAGTGTAACTGACAAACGTTCTATCTATATCTATACTAATATTATAAAGAGGTAAAGTTTGTGAGTTGTGAGTTTGTGACGTAGGGGAAAAACTCTGGATTTACTGAACCGATTTAGATGAAATTTGTTTAAGACCCTGGGAAGGACATAAGATACTTTTTATCCCGGAAATCATCCCATCATCAAGGGGGTGAAAATGGGGATGAAAGTTAGTACCTATTAGGAAACAAGCTACAGACGAACCCGAGCGAAGCGAGGGTGAGACGCTAGTTATTTATAATTTACCTGGACCTTCAGTCATTTTCAACCGTAATTGAGCATCTATTAAAATATGATAAAGACAGCTGTAGCTATAAGATAAGATAACTTTGTAGTAGGTATGCATGGCATTTTTTCTATCTTTTAAATTAATGTTCTAGCTAAGCCAATAATATTCAAGTCTTGATTTAATTGCGTATACGATTCTTTGCTTTTAGCTACTTTCCCGATTTGAAGACATATGCATTGCAGTATTTTATTTTTATTTATATATGAACTACCGACTTACCTTTGCTTCGCTCTGGTGCGTCCCTAGGGACGTTTTAAATAGATACGAATAGTTATTGCGAGTGAACCTTAGGAGATAGAACGATAATATTGTAGATTTTTCTGTAAGTGTATTTGAGACCTACAATTTTTCTATTACATTATTTTGATGTATCTCTTAAGGTTTAACCAGCTTAGCCATGTAAAATAAGGACGACTCGATAGAACCAGTTAGTTTTTCATTGAGAAAAAAAACCTGTAATAAAAGTTATGCTACATGTTGACCCGAGTGATAAGTTATAACTATACAAAATTTAGTTAAAATCGGTTTAGTACTTTTTGCGTGAAACACAGACATACATACTTACATAATAAATAAATAATTACAGACAAAAATTTTAATAACTATTGTTTTAGGGTCTCACAATACGCTACTTCAGTCATTCTTTTTAAAAAATATTTCATGTACAAATTTCGGTAAGTTACTATGTAGGTATTTTATTATACGTATAAATTACTAGTATTTTGATCTTTAAAACAATTTAAAAAGCATAATTTTATTAGCTAAAAACACTAATTATTGTGTCAAAAAAATATCTGTTTCATGTCTCATTGACTAATAATTAATAAAGCTTATAATAATACGATCGAAATTTCAAAATTTCCATGAAATGTTGTTTAAAATAAAAATGTTTGCTTTTTTAAATTACAGAATAGTTATAAGAGTTCATAATTCGTATGCCCATTTTAAAATATATTTTTGACTGTATGGCAAATATTACTGACAAATTTCCTTATTAGTATAGCGTGACAAGTACCTACAGTACTCGACAGTTCAGGAGTGCGGGTTAGAGGAATTTGCTAGTGATGTGCTAAAATGTATAGTAATAAAAACAATAGTTATCGATATTCTCTTTATAGACAATTAAATGTAAGGAGATAAATTTTATATCAATCACTTTCAATAGACATTGTAGAACAATCCGATAATTCACTTTCTTCATCGCTGCTTACTAAATTAATTATAAATTCTTCTAAGATATCCTCAATAATACCGTTCTTAGCCCAGTACATGTGTTCTAATTTTTCATTGGTTTATTCGAAGTCATTTTAACAAACGTAATAAACACACCCAACGGTAAATATTATTTAATAAACTGTTTCTAAGTAAGCAAACACCAAATAATTGAGAAATATCGATATATGTGCGTGGCATAGCAGTGAGCCAATCCACAACACTGAGACTCGTCGCACCTCATACGTCGCCCGCACTTCTACATACATACATAAATTGAAAGTCACTATAAAAAAATTTAAAAGAGTGCGTGTATGAATGTGTACACGCGCAAGAAGCAAAACTTCTTTACGTTATCGGTACTCTTTATGAAATTCAAATTTATCTATACATACCTATAATAAAATTGTAACTAAGTCGAATCTGTACGTTAAATATTTTTTGGAAATTCTTATAATTCTTTTATTATCGATACAGAGGACGAATCTATAGTTTTTAGAATTTTTGTCTGTCTGTTACCACATTACAGAAAAACGACTGGAGGGATTTTGATAAAATTTGGTATGGTGATAGCTGGTTATCCGGATAAACATATATGATACTTCTTACCGCAGGAGAATGTCTCATTTCTGAGAAAAAATACAAAAACTGCAATGTAAGAGTATACTAGTATGTAAAACCTAAGAATTTGGTTTTGGTCACCTGAACGCGGGCGGAGCCGCGGGCAATGCTAGTGTTTTAAATAATGAGGATAGTTGAGATACTAAAAATAACGCATATTAGGCATATTACAATCATATATTTATAGAATAATATTTATAGAATAATATTTAAGGAAAGAATATAATATTTAGAACATTTGTCAGACAATAACAATTGTTACCATGGCAACAAACGTACGTATATACATTTTTGTAACGCTGGTGAATGCAGCTTATCCCCCAAGTCTAGCGTGCGTAAAGAAGTTTTATATATATATCTTAAAAAATTAAACAAAATATACATTTAGAAAGATTATTTTAATAATAGATTATGGTAGAAATCGTTCATATTCCATGAAAAAAGTACACATTCTTATGGTTTCCCAAGCTTTGTTGCAATATTGGAACCAGCCTTTCTCAGAAAGATTTGGTACATTCGTTATTTGGTGTCTATTAACACCTAGAATCATCCAACGCAGCCGTTTTGCTAATTGTTCGAAGTCGAGGTGACCACGATAAATATCATGATTATCTAAAACAAAATATGAAATTATTTTATCTCTGTCATAAATTTTTTTATGTCTATCATTTCATTAAAAAATAAATATCTTTTCAGGATTATCAAGTATTTAGGCTGCATAAACATCCAAAAGTCTTTCTTGATTCATTATCAGAATTTATTATGTATAATTAATTAAGAACGCCGGAATTTATTTGCATACAATATAAAAATATATATATATATAACCACATCGATCACAAGAGATCAAAAAGATACACAATCCCATGCAAAAGTTCTCTTAAAACAGTTCACCAATTGTGTTTAGGTAATTATAATTGTTTGAAATAAATATACAACAATGTAAATTGAACCTTAAATTCAAGGCTCAAAGTTGTTTTCACAAAAAAAAAGTGCGCCGAAATGTTCAAATGAGGACATTTTTTGTCGCTGATTGTGTATCTAGTACTTTCTTGATCGATGAATAACCCAACCAACACATCAAATCTTTTCATTGTCCATTTATTTTAACGGAGATTCCGTCAAATACAAGGATTGTTAAAAATACCAATTTTTATGGCGAATGGTTTCGATGTAGTGGCAAGTTACAGTTATATTCGTTAACTTTAAAATCGTTCCCCGACTGTCATATAAAAGTAAGTATGGAAGTCGGGTGAGCCTCACCCGATTTTCACCTTTTTTTTTTAACGTTGGGAAATGCATTTACGCACGAGGTGTGGGACTCACCGGCAAAGCCCGTACTACCCACTAAAACCCAACAAAACCTTCCCCCGTCTTAATGGGGCGTCGCAGGATCGCTTACGCATTCAACTACGACGCTCCGACGGCAGGTCTGCCGAAGCAGACCACAACAACCACGGGGTTGCTCCACAGTCCACTCTGCTATCAGAGAAGTACCAGGAGCAACCCGCATGGTACACTGCCCTCCGAAGATGGCCACCTCCCACCGAAGTGGGCCACCTCCCTGTGCGTTTCTTGGCTTCGCGCCCGGTTGGGTTGCCGGGCACTACTGAGCCCCCCACCAGGACAAGTGAACGCACGTTGGGGGGGACCCGATTTTCACCTCGCATGACCTTGTCTAAGGCTAGGACTCATGATTAGTAGTTTTTGGTTTCAGAATGGTAACTTAATAGGCTTAAGACTTTAGAGTTAAAAAGGTTGAGGTACTCAATTCGCATGTATTATGAGACCAAATTTTTACGATGCGCACGCACACCGACAGCCAAAAAGCGACATAATGAAGTTAGCTGACAACGCCATGATTAAGGTAACTGCATTCCTTTTACAAACAGAGAGTGGTAACATACGGGATGAAATCTTTGGCTATTTTTGTTCTGTTACGCCAAAGAAGTATAACTTTTTACGTGAAATAATTAAATATTATTAAGTAGTAATATAACAGTATAATTTCTTACCAAAATCGCTATATATCTCTGGTAACAGAAACAAATTAATGGGCGATCCGCAAGTTTCAACGTTATACGCTTTGCAGACATTGTTAATATTCACGCCGTTTTTGTTTGTGTCACAGTACATATACATGCCCGACTGCAGTTGTAGGTTTGACCTTTGGAATGCTTTCCTGTAAAAAATAAAAAGACATTTATACATTATAAATATGAATTATTTTAGGGTTCCGTAGCCACCTCCCCGCGTTTTATCACCTTTTCGTGGTGGAGGGGCTCAGTAGTGCCCGGAAATCCGGCCGCCACTTCGGTGGGCGGTGTACCATGCGGGTTGTTGTGGTCTGTTACGGCAGACCTGCCGTCGGGGCGTCGTAGTTGAATGCGTAAGCGATCCTGCGACGCCTCATTAAGATGGGGGAAGGTTTTGTTGGGTTTTAGTGGGTAGTACTGGCTTTTCGAGCCGGTGAGTCCCACATAACCACCTGTCTAAAGGTGGTATACGTAAATGCATTTCCCAACATAAAAGAAGGGTTCCGTAGCCAGAAGTTACAAACGGAATTTTCATAATTTCAAGGTGTCAGCCATTTTACTTGGAGACTTTTAGTACTATACAGCTGAAATTCGGTAGTAAAGTATTTCATGTGGATTGCCAGAAAATGCAATCAAATAAAAAATAGTCAAATTACAAAAAGTAAAAAGCTAGAGGTTACATATTACATACCTGTATAAGTCCTGCATAGTCTTAACAGATTCTGGTGTAAAATCTTCTAATTGGCATCTGTTGTGTAATAGAAGTAAATGTGGGTGGTTCTCACCACTTGAGGTAGACTCGGTACCCTCAGTGTTCGCATTCGCCGCGTTAGACGCTGAGAGGGACGGTTTTAACATTTCTGCTGCTTGTATATAACTGAAAATATCACAATAATTTATACTATATAATATATTATTATTTATATCTATACAATATACTATATATAAGACTAAAAAAATATATAGGAGTCTATAGTTATATATTTATAATTATATAGTAGTTAAGGAGTGAATTATATGGAGTCCTCCAAAATAAAGGTCTAAGTAACAAAAGTAACAAATTCACTTAAGAACATATTTTAATAATATTTTCTTAGATTTATGTGAATATTTAACATTTTAAATAAAACTATCTTTTCGGATTATTTCGCGGATCTATTTTGATTTTTGGTTCCAGACATTTCGAATGCTTTACAGCAGTCATGGTTACAGGAGAGACTAAGGTTATAGAAGTCTCAAGGCGTTATATACTTGTTAGAGACAGTGCCTACCCACTATTTTACAAAAAAATTATTTCAATGTAATTGTAAAAATGTTTTTACTTTTTGGTGATATTTACAATCTCAAATATCTATAATGTATAGATTGTATATATTTAGTTTAAATTAATTTGATTTTTATAATATCCAAATAATATCTAAAAATTAATGATTTCTACTGTATTAAAATTGTTTTTTTTTTAATACAAACCGCAAAAAGTTATAATCTGTAAACCAATCTTGAACTGCTACTAAGACATGGCATATAGCCATCAAATATGATGCTATTTGAAGACAATCCACCGTAATAATGTTGGCACTTCTGGCTGTTATGGGATTTGTATTGGTTTCTTCTATTAGTGATGGTGACCATAGTGGTTGACAGTCGAGTAGAATTACACGATCTGTTGTTATATACATGTCTATACCTGAAAGAACAAAAACAATACATTTTTATAATATAATGGTAGCAAATATTCATATGACCTGTAATAATGGTATTCGGTACCATAAGTCAGTACATCTGTAAACTAAGGGTATTACTCGCACAATATCATCTTGTAAAGTGCCTATTGAAAAAACTCCAATCGGATTTCATGAAAAGCAACAAAAGCCACATAGAAACCAATAAAAGCCACATAGAAATCAATAAATATTTATTGCTTTCTTTTTGACTTTAGTCGCCTTTCATGAGATTTTATTGGAGTTTTTAAATAGGGGTGGTGGGTCTTAAAGGAAAAAAAAAAGATAGAGCATAGACAGTAAGGCTGTCTGCACTCGTAAAAACAAAAATACACTTTATTTAACATAAGTTGAGCTTTATTTATCATACATATTAAAATGACCATAATATAGAGTAGTCATTTTAAAATAACAGGAACGCACATCAGGTTTATTTACTTATATTATAACTTCTCTCACTTGAAATAAAAATAGAGATTTGTCATAATTATGCATAATAAAAATGATTGCATAGACTTAAATAAAAATAAGTTTAGCTTTGATTTTATTTCTTAGATTTTTTTTAAATTAGTGTACTGTACATAGCTTTTGTAATTATAAAAAAAATAGCTAAGTTATTATATTACAAAATTAAAACATTTTACTTGATTTCAAATGAGATTTACTTGTAATAGAGAAATTTACATATTTTAATACTAGCTTTTATGACCCACATTAAAAGCTTATGTAAATAATAATATCAAACCATTACATTATTTTATACAATCTTCATTACCTTTTGTACAGTGAACTCCTCTTTCAATATATTCAATGTCTTGCATTTTAAACTTAAATTTATTCTGTGGGTCTTGTGTTTCAGGAGTTTCATCAAAATTTAAGTTTTCCATTTGATTTTCTACTGCTGTTATATCATTGCCATCATATGTAGAGTCTATAGGCACTTCATGAGAATTAAGTATTTGTTTCCATAAGTCATTTACAGGTCCATTTTGAGCTATTAAATTTAAAATCATTGACTTTCCTACACCTTGAGTACCTGTAAATATAAATGATACAAATAAATTTGAATAAAGAGAGTAAATTCAGTTACAGTTAAAAAGATCATCGATCAGAAAGAAGTTTTTTTGTTAAGTAGGTACTTTATTAAGGTCTTACTATTTTATTATTTGGCTGAAAACTGTCTATTATGAATATTTTGTAAGCAATTCAGATATTTTAGTTCAGGTTATTTTATTAAAACATTCATAAGCTTTGTGACTTGTCTTCTCTAGTCTACCTTTAAATATTTAATCAAGTAATTAATCTACTTTATACTACATTTGATATTCTAGTTTGAATTATATTTGACATACATACCTATTATGCCCACAACCAGGTAGTTGCTATTAGCATCATTGAGAAATTCTACAGCTGATGTATTGAACTCTAAATTCTCATCTAATAGTTTTACAGGTTTTGTCATCAATTTTATAGGTTGACTTAACTTTTGTTCTGAAAATAATTATATTATAAAGTACTTTTATGTTACTTGTATGTTTTGAACCGACTTCCAAAAACGAGGAGGTTCTATGTTCTTTTCGTTTCTGTATATTTTTTTTATGAATGTTTACCGATTTCTCATAGACAGCTTGATCTGATTAGGTATCTATAGTAAAAGAAAACCCCCGTTCAGTTATTTTTTACTTTTTAATGCTTGGAGGTCGGTTTTTATTTTATTTCTGTAAAAAGTTTTAATGGTGTTCGGTTTACACTTTAAATATCTAAAAAATCAAAACAATTATACTAGACACATTATTACCTTTTTTTTCTTTATTTTCATTATGTGCAATTTTTGAAGGTTGTGTGGCTTCTGATTCTGCTCCTAAAGACTTTGGGCTTATTGACCTTTCCTCTTTCGGTGTACTCTGTTCGCGAGTTTTTAATATGATAGTAGGCTGTTTTTCCTTCTCATTTTTTTCTTTTGTAGTATCTTTTGAAATATCCCTTTCTGATTTTAAAATTACTGGTCTTCTTGGAGTGCTTGAAGCATCCTAAAATTACATTTTATATTAAATAGATGTACGTATACAATTTAAATTGGTCTCTTAAGCTCAATGAATATTATGATAGATACTTTTATAAAAAATTTCTTCTTCTTATCAGTCATTTCTGTTAATGTTATAAATTAAAGTTCAGATTATATCACATGAAAAACAAAAAAAAAATCTTTTTAATATTATCAGTTTATTTATTATTTTCAGTTTTGATAGATGTCAGTAATCTCAGATTCTCAGAATCCGTAATACTTCTCTATGATAGATGTATAGAAAGTAGAAACTTTGTCTATGATAGAACATAGAAATATAATTGCTTATGTAAACCTAAGGAGAACTAGCTCTGTAATGAAAAAGTGTCTGTCAAAAAGCGTCAAATTAGTGTGGCCAGTTGCGCCACGGTAGTATTTTTGCCAATTGAAGATTGGGAATCTGCCCTGCTCTGATCATCGCCATTAAAATGCCGAAAACTAAAAGGTCCATCCATACTACACTATACTACATGTAAGAACTATCTATACTAATATTATACTACTACCTTTACACGCTTAATACGCTGAACCGATGTAGACGTAATATGGACATAGTTTGAGACCCTGGGAAGGATATAGAATAGTTTATACCCCAGAAATTATCCCTTAAGGCAGTGGAACTTTGTATGGGGAATCAATCATTTCACAAGTAAGGGATATAAATCTCATTATATATATATATATATATATATATATATATATATATATATATATATATATAAATGTAATAATAAAATCATGATATGTACATAAATTAATTATCAGTATTTTAGTCTAAGATGTAACTACCTTAGAGAACAGTGAATATAAATGATACAAAATGTAACTGTAATTTTTCTCTTGTTAATGGCTTCAAAGCTTGTCAGTGCGTAGCATTTCTATTTAGTTTGTGGTGCCAGTCATGGATGACAAAATATAAAGGTGCCAGTTGAGCACTGATTACTTACTTCGCCAAAGTCTTATGTCACGTAGAAAACTGTAATTAATCTGTGGAGTATGGTGGAGTAAATAATTTTGACTTTTATTTGTCACCCATGATTTTGACATTGACAACTAGAGATACGAAATCGGAAATCATTTTCTTTTTGTTGTTTCATTGTCATTGGTTACGAAAATATCACAGTGAAACGAAAATGGAAAGATTTTCTCATTTTATTTGGTGTTCCATAATAGTATTTTTAATATCCGTGTGCACAGCCGATGAGTGTGTACCTAAAGGACCTTGTTCTTGTGAATTTTCAAATGGCACCGGTATTGACTTAGCGCCTGCTGTAAAAGCAACATTTTACGAAACTCAGATTTATCAATTAAAGAACAATGGATCGCAATATGAACTCAGTACATATTATTACCATCCTTGCTTTGATGTATTACTTAAAATTAATGCTACAGCTTCAGTTAATACGTGCACCAAACCTTTATCGGTAAGATATACTCTTCGAATGTCCTCGTTAAACTATGAAATGTAATATTTAGTAAAATAATTTAAATAGAACAGTAATAGCTAATTCATTTCAGATATGTCGTCACAAAAATATAATGAATTTTAATCAATCATCAAATTCATTTAAAATAGACGATGGTAATAATGAATTCTTAGGACAAACAAACATATCTAAGTTTAGTGCTGATGGAAAATCAATTGTGTACTTCAATCCTCCATCGTAAGTTTTATATTTTGTGCATTTTATTTATTAGGACAAAAGGATATTTATTATAAAGCTACTGCTAATATTATAAATGGCAAAGTTTGTTGGTTTGTCCTTGTTTTGAACAGTTAGAGAGTAATGATTACAAATACTTTTTATTGGGTGTTGACTGGCATAGCTCACTTTTTACTATGGTAAATTTCTTTTGTTTATCATTATCAGATCTATTTATAAAGAAAAGATAGCTAAAAATATATATAAAAGCAGAGATGTGTATTGTGTTTTAAAATCAAGGAAAACTTGTTTAATGAATTTATGTTGCCTAAAATATCATGTAATTGAATGTTAAGTTAATAGGTTAAGAAACTGGTTTGGCCATGTGATGCATATGGAGTTTATAACCTGTTCTTAAGAGAAGTAGGACAACCAAACTTTAATGATATTAGAAAAACACATTGTATAATATTTTTTATATAAATTTATAATTTTAGATAAAAAATATAAAAGCATTACTATGAGTATACATAAATTGTAGCCAGCAGTATATAGCATAATGCCCTTTAGTCCTTTTAACTTATTAATTCATCACAAAATTTATATTGTTATAAGTAATATTATGTAAATAAAGATTAATTTTATAATATAAATCCTTACTTTTCGTATTATTTCAGTGAAACAGTGGTAATGTTAGTATGTGCTCAAGTAGAGGGCAATCTGCAGGTGCATTCAGAAGCAGAGCCTGATGATTTGGTATTTTTTTTTATTTTTTTAAAGTGTAAAGTTTAGATGTAGAAGGATGACTGGAAGTTCTGCTGCAAAACTGTTTTTTTTTAAATTAATTAGCGCGTTCCATATAAAAGTAGATCCTGTTTATCCTATTATGTCAAATGACATCTATAGTATACTAGCAATGCCCGCAGCTCCACCCGCATTCAGGTGACCAAAAACCAAATGTTTAGGTTTTACATATTAGTATACTCTTATATTGCAGTTTTTGTATTTTTTCTCTGAAATGAGATATTTTCCCAGGGTGAAAAGTATCCTATATGTTGACCTGGATAACCAGCTATCACCATACCAAATTTCATCAAAATCCCTCCAGTGCTTTTTCTGTGATGTGGTAACTGACAGACAGACAAAAATTCTAAAAACTATAGATTCGGCCTTTGTGTCGATAATAATGTTTATTTCAATAAGATTTTTCAAAAAATATTTAATGTACATCTGTATGTATAATAAAATTGTAACTGAGCCAAATCTTTGGCTTAGTTACAACTTTATTATTATACATATTGTAAAAATCACTGAAACATGCTTGGGATGAGGCTTATAACAAAACACTTTGTTATGCATTTTTAATTTTACCAATGTAGGACATTTTGATTCCTTTTATAAAGTATCAATTTTAATTTTTAATGTTTTATTGATAGTATTTCATCATTTTATAGATATATAATTAGATGAAGAAAATGAGTTTTTTTAATTGATTGACAGGTTGCTTGAATACTCAAGTAATACATAACTAATTGGAAGAGTCATAATGATTAGGTATATAAAAATGTTATGAATACAATTACATAAATACTTGTTTCACATGTTAAATAATGCGTTTCGCTCGGGTGTCTATTTAGGTGACTTAAAATAGTGTTAGGTATTTTATACCAGGACAGACTATAGCTTTTGTGTACATTTCATTAAAACATTTATTGATGAAGGAGTATCAAACATGAACATATTACATAAACTTTTGCATACTTAATATAAACTTTCGCAACTTTCTCTGAGCATGTTTATTGTCAAATTTAAATTCAAAATATTTTATTAAGCATTAAATTAAATTAATACAATTCTTTACTGAACGTCATGATTCTTCTACCATATAATAATAGTGTAATTATATTATACTATTTTTAGACTATTATTAGATGTTTATGTAGCTTACAGGAAGCATGTAAAGATGTGCTTAGTCTGATATCCCTCTCTACAATTTTATATGTAGAGAGAGGGAATAAACAGCATGTGTACATACATTTAGATATTTATGCACTATTATATCCTTTGCGCAGTTGGCACTAGCATAGAGATCGGTCAAGAGTATGTCATTATTAAAATATGTAGTGACGTTCTAAAACTTGGTTACATATTCAAGTTAATTGACGAATGTTTAGTTAAACGTGTGAGTTCAACACATTTTTTGTGGGGTAGATGGAGAAAACATAGAACTCTCATTCTGCTGTCCATTTTTATTTGCAATTCTTAGTGGGCTTAGATTGCCTTTTATGGAGAAGTTATAATACCATCGACATGACTAGTGTCTATATCAATAGATAATATACTAAAAATTGTAATAATCATATTTATATATCAGATCTATCCCATCAACAACCGCCGCCTTTTTTCGCCTTATAGATTTTTGGTACTATTCTTCATTAAAACAACTGTTTTATTTAACCTATCGGCTAGGTATCTAGTATTTAAATAATACTGTTCGAGCCCAGAATTCTGAGCATATCTAGTGCTTTTGATCTTAGACATACACACATAGCATATCAAATTAATATTATAATTACTTAATAATTGTTATATCTTCATATAATTAATGGCTAGACGTGAAATTCAAAATGGAAATAATTAATATTCTGTAACAACATATAGTACTTATTATCGACATGCTGAGGCAAGCCCAGGCGTAAACCATCTTTAAATATTTATTACAGAAACAAATCTGTCAAACGGGAACCGTACATTTTTCCTGGATAAAAAGTAGTATGTGTTATTCTGATGTATAAGCTACTAGCGACAATTTTCACCCCTTAAGGGGATATTCCTTCATATTTATTTCCGGGATAAAAAGTATCCTATATCCTTCCCAGGGTCTCAAACTATCTTCTTACCAAATTTCATCTAAATCGGTTTAGTAGATCTAGAGATTACCCTACAACGTCACAAACTTACAATTCACAAACTCACAAACTACCTCTTTATAATATTAGTATAGATTATTGTAAAGTTTCATTAAAATCCATTCAGTAGTATTTGCGTGAAAGAGTAACAATACAATACATCAATACATCCAGACACCCAATATACTTACAAACTTTCGCATTTATAATATTAGTAGGAATAATTAATAAATAATTAATTAATCAATGGGAATAATTTCAGGTGCTAGCGTTTTATTCAAGAGACGCGTGTTTAAAGCAACTCAACGAGCCGTCTGATGCGGGTCGCTCTGTAGGGTCAACTCTACTTGTAATATTTTTCTCCTTCGTAATTTTGTACCTTGTACTGGGAATATGTACAAAGAAATTCCTAATGGGCGCTACGGGACTTGAAGTTATACCGAATCTTTCCTTCTGGTCGGACCTACCTAATCTTGTAAAGGTAAGTTATGTTTTAACCATATCTTTTAATTTCATTAATTTAAAAATTTATTATAGATTAATTGTGAGGGTGAGTCGCTCTTCTTTTAATAAATTCATTCGATAATGGACGACGATTAATTATTTTTTATTTTAGTTTTGTTAAGCGTATATAAAAGAACTATGATTTTTTTATAAAACCAGTACTTTGCTAAATATTGTTATGCATTTTGGTATTATGAAATGTCACTTTCTCATACAAATAGCTAATTTAATATAGAATTTTAGTTCGAAAACATTTGAGATAAATGTTAAATTAACTTTATACATTTTACCCATTCATGGATAAAGCTTAATTTTTTTAATTTCTCTCTTAAAGTTTTCGAAAGACATATAAATTCCATCAACCCGCACTTGGCTAGCGTAGTGATCGGTGGACTATGGCCTGATTCCCTTCGTATTGAAGGGAGGCTCGTGCCCAGCAGTGGGACGTTAAAAAATGTCTGAATACATATTCTACAAAAACCACGCACGGCTTTAAACGACATGATTTTATAACTTAAAGAATACGAACGATGACATTGGTAATCGAGAATTATTCTAAAACCACAACTTTTATATACATAATATCTGCGCTTATTGAAGATCCGCAATGTGACTTGTAGAGACTTTGTAGGGAATACCTTAGTCGAGGCCCTGAGGGCATATGCCCAGTCTTAACTAGAATATATACATATCTTAGGGCTGTACCGTTTTGTGTTCTATGTACTAGCACTTAATATCTATTTTTCCATGATTGATGTGAATTTTGTGTATTTTATAGGATGGGTGGGCATTTGCGATTAATGGGTTCAAGTTGCCGTCCAGAGGCCCTGGGCCGGTCACCTCGCCTGACCCCAATAGCTACGACAGCATATAACATCAGGTCAACGAAGGTCAGCTCGTCCTCATCGAGTAATCCTGTTGATGAGTGTAATATAGAGACCAAACACGAAAATTATGGTACGTGACTAATTTAGAAAAACTTTATTTTCAAAATACATACATATATTTATTTGCAGAAAACACAGTATACAACGTTTTTATATTGTGGTACCAGCACTGTGCAAGCGTGTGTTGTGAAAATAATCGTATTATAATTAAACAGCTTTGATATTACAGTTACAGATATTATAATTCAGTTATGATATTTTTAATTTTAGTCATGTACCTTTTGATATTTTTAATAATCGATTTTACGAATGAAATGAAAAAGCTTCATGAATAAATGTAAATTTTTCGCGTATGTGGTTTTTAGAATCATATTCGCCACCATACACGTTTATAACATATAAATATAAGTTTAGAACAAAACTTTAATTATAATTCTTTATTTTTGAATATTTGTAATAAAATATTGATTGAATTAGTTTTAAAATATATTTTTTCTTTTTTAAATAAAACAATGTTTTTTTTATTTAATTACTAGTGGCTTAATTAAAAGTAAATTTCTATTCATTTCTATATTTTTTACGCCTACATACTCGTATATACGTTTATATAATAAGCAATGTGTTATGCCGGCTTACAACGTTCGCTATCTAGTATCAAATGTACGAAATTTAAGACGTTGTGGTTTTATCTTTATGTACACTAGCATATTAATTTAAACATTTAAAGTAACTGATAACCATGTATTCCATATATTATACAGATGAAAACATGTTTTAGGAATTTAAAAATTTTGTTTTACGTTTCGCGATATGAAAAATGTTATGTGAGGTTTAAATCTGGAACCGTCATTACGCGAAAAAAGTAATAAATGATCATAAATAAACGATTATTTGTAATACATATTTTGTGTGATATCGTTTTACATTACATTATACTTATAAAATAACTCTCTTTGTTATTATTTATATTAAAATATAAAACTAAATATTAATTTAAAACTTACCCCTAAATAAGTATTAATTATTATTATTACTGTCGCCGTTTTGGGTGACAGCACACATACTCCTGATTCAATTTCCGAATTCGATTTTTAAATTTCTGATACAGACTGACTACAGATCCACAAAATATTGGTAAAATTTAAGAAAGGACATTGTCCATTTAAGTAAGGCGGTGGTACCTATAATGATAGGTTTAGAGTTTAGAGGCTCTACTCCATTGTTTTAGACGATTTATTTTAATTTCAAAAAAAAAAAAATCTGAAAGAATTTTCGCTGCTCGTCACTTATCTAATTTATTGTTCAGTTTCTGTGTTTAGGTGTTATTTTGTTTATTCTAAATAAAATCACCACTTCGAACCGCATAATGATGATGATCAGACGATGTCAAATAATCGACAATCGAGATTATTTGTTTCATTGATTTACTTGAAATATATTACATGAATTTGACTTATTTATCGGATGTTAAATATACATTATTTTCATATAGAGGAATGAGATGTACTTGAATGCGTTGTTTTCCATTTCTGTCCATTAGTTGAGTGCGAAGGTTCAAATGAAGCAGATTGTACATAATATTTGTTTTTGTGTGCTTTAACGATTAGTTTCTATATTTTGTAGTCATTTCATTGTTGTTATACTTTGTGTTAAGTAAAACTAAATAATATTAGCCATTATATTTTAGTAAAATTTGTTTTTTTTGGCAAGTTTGTAAGAGCTGTAAAGATTGGCATTCGGATCTGTTTATGCTCATGTCTATTCTTCTTTCTACATTTAAAAAAATGTAAACACTTTTTTTTGTTGAATATAACTGAATTTCTATTTTCTATTAGCACTTTTTCAGTTGAAATAAATAATTATTTTCACTTGCCATAATTTGATTAGATGCGTGATTTTTTTGCCATTTTTTTTAATTTTTATTAATTATGATTTGTCTTTTTTTTGTCTTACTATTTAGTCTCAGATGGACCTATAAAAAGACAATATGAGAAGTGAATTTGGTTTTTGTATAATCGTGAATTTAAATTAGCTTAGTATTATGTGTTAATAGTTTATTCCACACAATGTGCATGCGATGTTTTTTTTTGAAAATAAACATACCTATTGTTATATATTAAAAAACAAATCAGTAATAGATATGAATATAATATTTATTATATTATTTGGATAAATATAAGGCCAACTGAAGTTTTGCACGAAAAATTACTGTCAGCTTTTTCCATTAAATTTTTTACCGCACATTAGTTCTACGTTTAATGTAGTAGGTACGAACGAAAGGTAATAATATTATATGACTATTTGTAGTTTTTGAATTAAATTTCTCAAAATAAGTGGACTTTTGTAATAATAACATATTTATTAGTTACATATACTTCAAATACTTAATAAATTGTTTCTTCACATAATATGAAATTTGATTTTAATGTGATTTTGCAGTTTATTTTTATTAATTATAATTTTGCTCAATTTATATTTTTATACAAGTGAAAAGAAATATTTTTTTAAAGAATTATGGTAAATTATTTTTATACACACGTTACTTTTGAAATGTTACTGTAACTTTGATACTACAAAATGATGCAAATATAAGCTAATGATATTAGTTTGAGCATTTCTCTTCCATAGAACATGATCTGTCATTGAATGTGATTACCAAAATTCCTTAGTTTTTGGATTGTTTAAAGTTTTTTTTAAATTTATGTATATTTTGTACGCATATGCATATCTTAAGAATATTAGAAGATAAAAAGTAAATACTATTGAATTTACTATGCAATAGGCGCCTAAACTTTTACGCCAACTAGGAGCAAATGCCTGAATTTATTGGGATCATTTTTCAACTATGTCAACGTTAAGAAAACATTGTTGTTTTTTAATTTGATTACACTTAACATTTTTTAAGGGATTTTTTATACATACTATAATTTTCACATCATAAACATTTGACACTCGTTTGTGCTACAACTTTTTGCTGTCAGCACAGTTTCCTATTTTATTATTTTTTTCTACTACACCATAAACATGGTTGGACTTGAATAATTTTTTACCTTACTCATTTCATTCTGACCATTTATTTATTAACATTTATTAATACCTGGTTTTATTCCATACTTTATTATCTTTCCATTTTTATAAATATTCTGTGTTTACAAATGAATGTTTTGATCCCACTATCTTCGGGAATTTCGCGCACGGTCCCCATTAAAGGCTAAAAATTGGCATTTCGTTGGCTGATCATAATGAAATTAAAAATATGCAAAACTTTTTAGTTATTAGAAGCGTTTTATATTATTATACTATTTAATGTATATGTACTCTGTGCAATATAAGATATTAATAATATTTAGTGTCATATTGCTTGGTAATCCTGTTTGTTTTTTTTGTGATCGTAATTATAATTTGCCACAATTTTCTATAGAGAGCTCTTTAAAAATACTTAGATTCAATTTTACGGACACTTCTTATCTAACATACCGTATTTTGATTTTTTCATCTTGTCTAGTTTCAGTTTCATGTGAAATGGAGAAGTTTCATGATATTGTTAATATCATATAATTTTAATGCAATGGCATTATAGCATAGATCAAAATTAATAAATCGGTCATTTTTTTTGAAATTTAGTAATAAATGACTGAGAAATTATATAATAAATCGTCGGTCGTTCAGGTCGTGTGACGTCACGAAATTATTCTTACAAGCGCAACTTTAACGTTTTCATTTGTTGAGATATTTTAATAATTCTTTCATATTTTTGTCATATTTTATTTAAAGTTTTATAATAATTAATGCATAAAAAAAATTGGAAACTTCTCCATTGAGATAAGGGTGATAATTTATATTTAAATATAGCGATTGGATTTGTTCGTTATTATTGCTTTTATTTTTATTATATTACATCGTCTGTGCCAATAAATATCATTATATGTAAAAAGACATATTTTTGTAGTTACAAAATATATGCTGCATAGATTTGTATATTTTTAGTAAATTATAATCTCATGTCTGTGTAACGTTAATCCCTACTTAATCTAATGTATTTTTCTAATAGTATATTATTTATATAAAATATATTCTATCTTTGTATCCCGACATATCTTTATAATATTATTACATACATTTTCATTGTTTTGGACCAAGAGTTTTTCTAATATCAACATTATATACTCCTATGTATATATTTTCGCTTTGCACAAAAGTTAACAATGAACTGTGTGGAATCTCTGAATAAATAATCAAAGAAAATTTGTGTTTTACTAATCAATGCCTAAAAATGAAGTGTTTTCTAATGCGTGCCTACTGTTATTTTATATATATTATTATATATGTTTGAGTAAAACTTAATTTATAAGCGGAATTTAAAAATTGAGATTTCGTCAAAATAGAGAATAAAAAATAAATAAAAAAGTCAAATAGAGAATATAAAGATTGACGTATATTGACGTAAGGTTTGTTATTATAATAATTACAAAACATACAGTCGAATTGAGAACCTCCTCCTTTTTGAAGTCGGTTGAAAACAAGATAGATACCTCAAATAGTTAAAAATTGCTGGATTGTATAGGACTTGGAATATGTATTCGTACAAAGGAATTTTTGATGAAGTTTAATATTATATATTTTAATATTATATTGAGCGCGCCGTATTATAGAAACGAACAGCGCAACCTTTTATCGGGGACTGATGGCATCTGTTACAGAAATATGCTACCTGATTATAATAATTTTGTAATTATAACTAGGTACTTTTTCAATAGATACAAATACCTAGATATTAGCCAGCCAGCGTTATTCATTTTTTTCGTTAATTTATCTGATGTTTTAATACATATTATCCTATACCGGACTAAGAGAAATCCAAAAAATCTAATATCATAAAAATTGTCCAGCAGTTCTTAAGTTATAAATGGTGTGACCAACACGACTTTGTTTTATATATATATTTACCTTATTTTATATTTTTTCTCTTTATTAAAACTTTCCGTATAAAAAAAATGATTAATTGGTCGAGACGCTCTCGAGTTTTGCGCTTAGCAACATTCATTTTTATATAGATAATATCCTTCACTTGTATACTAAATTTCATAAAGTACTTGCATGTTGCACCTACCGATTTTTTATACGACGATGATCGTATAACTTACTTTCGTAAATTAATTTTTAGGTTTTAGAGTGGGCAAGGTATATCAATATAAACTTAGTTTTTCTACAAAATTAAAGTCCTTCTCCTCCCATTACTCCACCAATGTGACGTAATATTAAAAACTCAATTGTTAGAAAATGCTTGCAGTTTTTGCTCGCTGGATCTCTCGGACTATAACTTTTAAGGCTGCTTTTATTAGGAATAATGTTATATTAGCCTTTAAGAGAACATGTAGGTAATAAAAAACCTTGTTCAAATTTGATGTTAACTTTATTTATATTAAGTATTTCCATCGGAGCACAGTAGTATCTAATTATTGCTTAACACCTAAATCGATTTGACAATAATCAAATTATATTGTGAATCCCAGCTGTAAAAAAAACGTAATATATATATTTTGCACTCATTATATTATCTATATCTAAAATTCTATAATATCAAGCAACAATAAATTTGGGTGCAAAGAACTCCAAAGATTATAATATTTTCATTATAGGATGATGTGGGTAGCACTCGTCAGTAGTCAGTACCAATAAATTGGGAAGTGACAACATTCTATCAATTTTATTAAAAAAAATTAGGTATAATATGGACTAAAATCCCAAAGAAAACTCTCCTCAACTGGCACGCTTTGAAACCATTAACTGAAAATTGAATTGAATTGAAAATCTATTTTAATAAACAAAATATCGTTAATACCAATTAAAAAAACATTTAAACGTAACTCTCTCACTCTGTCGAGATCCATTATGACAAAAAAACAAAATGTGCATTAATGTCGTGCATTATTAATGGAGAATGTTGGTACCTAATTTAATCTTTAAGTTCTCAAAATTTCATTTAGAACTAAATATTAAATAACGTACAAAAAGTATTTCCCATACATATATAATGACAATCGACCATATTTTATACTAGCATTAATGGTTCCACCACATTATGACGTTTTGTTACATGTGCATTGGGCAACGAATCGGAATGTTTCTTTTTAATATTTCAAATGTGTATCAAAACAGTTACATATATAATATAGATTAAATATCTTTGACTTTATAGAGTTATCAGTGATTTAGTACCTATCATACCGTATCATCAATACCTATCATATCGTATCAAGCCGTGTTTGTTAATAATAGGAACATAAATTAGTGAAAAGGAAAGGAACTGGTTTTCTAATCTCACCCGCACCATGCTACAATTAAAATAGTATAGGTACCTATCGCTTCAATAAAAGATTACATCAAATCAAAGAGTTGGAATACATAAAAAGTAATCTGATAAGCCCTTATTGACAATTTGAATTATCAATCTTAAGGCAATGGAATAAGAGTAAGAAAAAAATTACATGGAATGGTCAGGATAGAAAAAAATATATCGTTAGAATGTCTTACTTAGTAGTAGTCAATAGTTATTAGTTACCTTAGGAGCATTTTCAATCATGCACGTAGCTAAGACATTTGACCTCTTGCAACCCTTTTCACCATCGTCAAACTTTTCGTCATTGACTAAAACAAGAATATTTATGAGCGTTATAAATTATAGGTATAGTTATATACATCAAAAATAATAAATATATTAATTTTCACTAAGAATTGTTACTGAAAAAAAAATATAAAGAAATACCTGTCTTGCAGATTTCATATAATTCCTTTGCTTTGTCTAATTTGGCCTTATTGTCACCGTATTCTCTTTCAGATAGCTCATATGCTTTAGCTAAGTCAAACATGCCTTTGTCGTTAATCTATATGGAAAGTTGGAAATATTATATTATAAATGGACGAAATATTATAAAGGTGAAAGTTAATGAGGGAGTATTTTTACTTTTCCTTACTAAACATAACGGTATCGATGTATTTGAATCATGAATGACATTCGAAATATAGCTTGCGTAGGTATATATCGAAGATTACAACATACTCATAGGTTGCTTTTATTTGACGAATCTACCGCTTTATCGGAGTCATGGGGTAATGTAGGTTAAAATAAAAGATAAATTACGTTAAATAAGTAGCTCTCTACCAGCGTACAACGCTAGCAGCTAAAATAGCGGGCGTAAAATTCAAGTCTGCTGTAGGCCTCGGCCGCTCATAAACTTCGTTATGAGACTGAATTAGTACTAGATGTTGGAATTAAAGAACAGATACAGCACATATTATTACAAAGTCTGAAAATGTTCTTAGTTCAAATTTCAAACAGGATGAAGGTAACTTTCATAGAACATTTCATCTTACCCATCCAATTCTTTTAAAAATGCAAGCTACTAAGCATTTAGCGCTAAACGATTCAGGTACTTTGTTACTGGTCTTCATCTGTTTTAGCTCGTCCGATGTAACTTTATGTTCTTTGCTGCATTCTACGGCTATATCCATGAACCATTTCTTTAATTCTTCATCAGTTCGGGCCTGTTTAAAAATGACGACATTTTCGGATTGAAAAGGAATGCCAATACAAGCGTAGGTAAGTTAATTTTTAAATGATTGCTCATAGCGATGATGGTTCTTTACTTATAATAGTCATATTTGTACATTGTCTTTTTTTCTAAATCACACCTAAACAGTAGGTAAGTGGATAAGTGGATTATACATATTTTTTAAATTTTATACTATTGCATATTTATCCTGATATGATAGAAATTGAATATATGATTCTGGCCAAAGCTATATAGCCACTTCAATGTAGATCAAACATATATATAGGTCGTCAATGTGGTTGTTCAAACTAAAAATAAATTATGTAAGCAGAACCTGGGCGATATATTAATTTTTTTACGTACGAACCTTAGGTAGATATATTACAAATTTAAATTCTTTTATTGTTTTTTTTTATTATAGAAATACACTTTTATGTTTGTCAAGCTCTACCTAATCTAATAGCTCTCTAATAGTAAGACTACTAGAGAAAAATATTTAGACGGAAAAAAAGATGTTAAAGTCAAAAATAGTACCGTGATTTTGCTGTATAGGTACATATGCTATTATTCTCTATGTGCCATGCCATACAGATTGTTTACTGTTTTTAAAGAAGGGAAATTTTACATAGGCATTCGACGTTAATTGACTTTGATTTTTGAGAAGAAAATATGATTAATAAAAATAATACTATATCCTTTTGTATTGTTTAAACATAAATTCTCCTCCCCTTAAAAGAGAGATAGCATAAGAGAGAGAGCAAAGAGAGATAGCTTATTTTAATTTCTTTCTTTATTATAGAAAAATCCTTAGCTATTTATATTTATTTATTAATGTTAATTTGCTTATCACAGTAAAGAATATTCTATTAATATTTGTATACAACATTGTTGTTTAGCTTCATGTTTAGTAGGAACTATGACGCTCAGACTTTATTATTCTTTAGGCTGAGACCAGAGTATAAAGATTGAACAGCTTTGTTTTAATAAAATAAAATGTAGGTATACTTACAAAAGTTATTCCGATAAAACAACAAACGACCAAAAGTTTTAAGGATGTCATCATAGTTGTGGCTGCTACTATACTAGCTTAATTTAACATAAATGTCATTTTTATATAATATGCAATTTATAGCCATTGTATAAAAAATTGAATATAATGCTCTTTTAATTTTGGGCGATTAAGGTTCCCTCCATTACAAGCGGAAGAATATTAGTAAATTGATTGTTGACATCATATAATTGTTGTTTGTTAAAGTTTTTTTTAGTGCAAATTGAGAGTAAAAATACTTTACAATTTACGTATTAAAATCGATGTGTAATATGTAAAGGGCTTTACCTTACCGTGTCTTTTACGTCAAGACTATTGGAGTTCCATTGCCGAAATTTGTCTGTCTCATACTAACCGCTAAACAATTCTGTGGTCGAATTAAAAATAAAAAAAAACCCGACATGTAATTAGCCATTTTGTCGTGGTGGCCACCTTGGATTTGTAATTCATCATAGTGTATAGTAGTCAAGCCCTTTCATTTGATACCCATATTGAGGAAGTTGTGAAAAAATATGTAATCCGCCATTTTGTGGCGGCGGCCATCTTGGACCGATTTTCATCAAACATAGCTAAGAACACTCCCGAGTAATTCACCTTTCATATAAAAAAACAAAATAAAAATCGGTTTATCCGTTCGGGAGCTACGATGCCACACACACACACACACACAGACACGTAAAACTTATAACACCCCGTCGTTTTTGCGTCGGGGGTTAAAAAGTAGAGATGGCATTTAATGCGTAAGGAATAACATTTTTTTTTCATAGTAGGTAAAATACTCTCAAAACCTTAGACTTTTCTGTGGCTGATTGATGTGAAGCATTCAAAACCGCGTCGAGAACAAAAAACCAAAAAAGCGCCCAAAAAAAATTCGAGTGCACATAAACATTTTACATTTACCTTTAAAAATAACGTAAATGTGTCTAGCTTTTACGTTATGTTAGTGGCTATATTAACGTACTACGTTATGTTAGTACTGAAATGTTTAACGCTAATAATATGGCCTTCTTTTTATTTTTAATGTTACGAAATGCATTTAGGCATTCCAATTTTATACCTGTGCGGTGGTTATGTGGGAGTTGCCGGCTAGTAAAGCCAATAATACTCACTAAAACCTCCTCCGTCTTATTTGTTTTTTTTTCCATATATATGCATATTTTGGAGGTCTAATTATTTACTATTTAATCTGTTTAATTTAATTTTGGTATTCTCATGTTGCGTTTCCAGACAGACAGAGACACATAAATTCTAAAAACCATAGATTCGGCCTCTGAACGATGTTCAGTACATTAGTATACATCGGAACTGTACGATAATAATGACTATTTCAATAACATTTTCCAAAAATATTTAATGTAGAGATTCGACTCAGTTAGAATTTTATTATAATACTAGTAGTATTCGCGGCTTCGCCCGCGTCTAAACTTCCGATTGCTAACAAAATTCACAGGATCACCCGCTGGGCTAATCTGAAGATTACCTGAAATTTTCATCAAAATCACTCCAGCTATTTTGGAGTCCATAGGAAACATACATACACACATCGATTTTTATTTTATTTAATCAACAATTTAAATTTCTTTATTGCTCGGAAAATGGAGTCCTTTATGAAAATTTAAATGATCCATTTGCAAATAGAAACCTTGCAGGGACCCACTCGAACATACACAAAAAATATCATTAAAATTGTCCCTGCTGTTTAGGAGACGATCAGTGGCACATCGACTGCAGCGCCACCTACTGGGTCAATTTGTGTTTTCAAGCATTGCAGGACCCCACTCGAACATACACAAAAATATCATTAAAATCGTGCCTGCCGTTTAGGAGATGATCAGTGGCACACCGACTGCAACGCCACCTACTGGGTCCATTTGTATTTTCAAACCATCCAGGAGCCCTATGAAATATACACACAAAATTTCATCCAAATCGATCTAGCCCTTTAGGAGAAGTAGGTTAATAAACACACGTACAGAAGAATTATATACATAGTCTGGCTTAAACGGTACGCAAAGTGAGGTCACAGAAAAATTTTGTTTACGGATGAGAATTTTTTTACAATTAAGCAATATTTTAACAAATAAAATGACCGTATTTATGCTCAAAGCTCTAAGGAAGCTTCCCAATTAGCCAACAGAGTAAAACGTGGGCATTATCCGACTTCAGTGATGGTTTGGTGAGGTGTTAGCTATGAAGGAGTGATTGAGCCATATTATTGTGAAAAAGGTATCAAAACATCGGCACAAGTTTATCAAGATACAATTCTTGAGAAGGTAGTTAAGCCCCTTAACAACACCATGTTCAATAACCAAGAATGGCCCTTTCAGCAAGACTCGGCGCCGGGTCATAAAGCTCGATCCACGCAATCTTGGTTAGAAACCCACATTCCGGACTTCATCAGAGCTGAAGACTGGCCGTCATCTAGTCCCGATATTAATCCGCTGGATTATGATTTATGGTCAGTTTTAGAGATTATGGCTTGCTCTAAATGCCATGATAATTTGGGAGTCCCTAAAACAATCCATACGATTGGCAGTGAAGAATTTTCCCATGGAAAGAGTGTGTGCTTCTATTGATAACTACCCTCAACGTTTAAAGCCAATGGAGACCACTTCGAATAACCTTTATATATTTTTAATGGTTTTATATTAATGTATTAAACTAACACACTGTTATAGTAATAAATGTTTCGTGCAATAGAAAAATGTTTTTTTCTTTGTAACAATATTTATGGCAAGACTATGTACTCGTATATTAAGATGTAGGTATTAGTGACTTACCCTCGCTTCGCTCAGTCGCTGGGGTTCGTCCCAAAGTATGCGGATTTTGGTATGATACAATTTCATGGGTTTTAATTTTTTTATTTGTAATCCTTTTTCTAAAATAAAAGTAGCATATGTTACTCCTTATAACATCAACTATCTGCCAGTGAGTCTTGTTAAAATCGGTCCAGCTGTTTTGAAGATTAGCCGGAACAAACAGACAGACAAAATAAAAATGGTTTTTTCTTTTAATTACCCTACATACTTTCATATGTATTTAGTAAAAAGCTGTTATTTTGACATTACAGACACTTCAATTTTATTTATCTGTATAGATAGACTGACTAGAATGTGGTCCCTATGGAATGAGTGATTTTTTTAGCATACTTAAATAAAATTTATAATAAGATATTAATTAAATATTAATTTATAATATTTTAAATGATAATATTATGTTAAGTAAAAATATTAAGTGTTGCTGAGTTTCATATAGTATATTATGGCTGAATGGTTAAGAATAGGCCATTTTCGTAAAATGTATACAAGTGTCAATATTTGTGAATATTTCTTTCGATTCTAGTATATTAATTAAGTGTAGAATTAAACATTTGTTTTTAATGTACAAATAAAACAGGAGAGGAAGTAGGTAATGTTTGCCATTTATTTCATCTTTTTCATAAAAATTACATGCTATTATCATGTATAAATCATTTTATCAAAACGGAAGTTATTTTGCTTATTATATTTAGAAAACGAATCGTAACAAATGAGCTTAACGTTGCGTGGAAACTGAAACGTATGGACGTGATATAATATGGACACGGTAATGGCATAATATACAGTATTCCATCATCATACAAACGGTCGGAAAGCGAGTTATACCTACGCGCCTCGAGTTCGGTATACACTCGGTAGACAACGGTACAGGGTTGCCAGATCGTATAATTGGATACGAAAATTGTATAATATGGTTATGTTATATAACTTTTATAATTGGATACAAAAATAAACATTTTATTCCTCCCGTAATAACGCTAATGTCAAAAAAAGTATAGAGACATTGAATGTTTTAAAAATAAAAATTAGTTAAAAAATTAATTTAAAAATAATAATTAAAGTATTTTAAATTAAACTTTTTATCTGAATACGGATTTTTTTTATATTATTAAATTTAACAATAAAGCTTTTGTTCGTTTCAGTCGAGGTGCAAATATTTTTCAAATTTATGAGGGTAACCATCCTTATACATTTGAGATTTTTTAATTAAATTTAGTAACCAAAAACACATGTATTTTTATTGAACACATCCTATTTCAATTACAACGAATTTTATTTTTTTAAATCAATAAATATTATATTTGCAATCACAAAACTAGAAAGAAACTCAAGTAGGTAATTGAAATTAAAATACTGTAGGCGGGCAGCCCTGTTGCGTGTTTACGTGCCGCGCGGCTGTAGGTAATTATCCTATCAAAAACATAAATGTGAAAATGGAAGCCAAGTTCAATATCAAGAATATACGTGTTTGTCAACTTCATCGACAAAATAATTGAGATAATCCTGATTTTTTTTTGATAAAAACATACAACATTCTAAAATAAATTTAACACTCAATTTCTTGCTTTTTTCTGCTACAAATGAAACAAGTAATTATATTAATTTTAATTTTGCATAAAAAATACGTAGATATGTATATTTTTAGTTTCTTTGTTTTAGTTTTTTTTTGGATTGTATAAATTATTTTCGTTATACCCATTATTATTATTATTATTATTGTTTTTTTTTCTTTATTATTTCAGGAATTTGTTTTACTTTGTTTCTAAACTCTAATGCTCAGGCAGGCAGGCAGATTATGATCTCGTGAATATAATGATCAGACATCAAGAAAAAATATAAATTAAATTCTAAATTAATAAAACCCAGACATGTAATTCGCCATTTTGTGGTGGCGGCCATCTTGGAATTGAAATTTATCATAGTTTATAGTATTCTACTAGTCAAACACTTTCATTTGATACTCATATTGAGGGAGTTGTGAAAAAATATGTAATCCGCCATTTTGTGGCGGCGGCCGTCTTGGATCGATTTTCATTAAACATAGCTAAGAAGACTCCCGACTAATTCACCTTTCAAACAAAAAAAAAACAAAATCAAAATCAGTTCATCCGTTCGGTAGCTACGAAACCACACACGGACACGTCAAACTTATAACACCCCGTCGTTTTTACTAATCGTCAAATGTCGGGGGTTAAAAACAAATATGAATGAAATCACGTATTAAGATACTCCTATTGCAAAAATTGTATGTGTTGTCAGGTTAGGTCAGAGATTGGATCAACCTTGTCGTGGGTGGAAGGACTTAGTAGCGTCCGGCAACCCCGCCGAGGGTGAAGGGAACAGACGCATTTGGAAGAAGGTCTACCTATGTGGGTCTCGGGAGATGTACTATGCAGTCCGCATGTTAACCCATTCTTGGTACTTCTCTGATAATGGAGTGACTATAAGGGAGCGGACCGGTTGTTGTAAGCTGCCTTGGTAGACCAGCCGTCGAAGCGTCGTGATTGAGCGATCCTACGACGTCCCATAAGGCGGGGAAGGTTGCCGATGAGTTTTACTAAGTAACACTGGCTTTAACGGTATGTGTAGGTGGTATGCGAAAATACATTTCCCAACGTTAAAAAATGTAACGATATTAGTATTGTATTATATGATCTGTTATATGTCTAGAAAAACGGTGCTAGGAGGGAACTCCACTATACCGCGTAAAACAAAAATATTCAATCAATGTAGTGGCTCAATTGACATTTTCAATCCTTCCATTTCGCTGTATAAAAAGAATATTTTGTATCAACTTTTACAAATAGCAAATAAGCACATTTAATGTATTATTTTTTCTTCTTCTTTGTTGTAGTATTTCTGAAGCATGTTGTGTTTCCCTTAATATAGATTTACAATTTACTAATGTTATATATGATATTAATTATAGTGCTAGTTTTAAATAATTGTAAAACTGCTGGTAGACCTTAAATAAATAAAATTAAAAAAAAATAAGTGTATGCAGCCAACGACGGACTTGTCCTCGTTGAGATTAGATGTATCTGTGATTATTCATAGATTTTTTTGTTTCCTTTGGCCTTTAAACTGAGGTCATCTATACATATAATAAAATTGTAACTAAGCCGAATCTGTACATTAAATATTTTTAGGAAAATGTTATTGAAATAAATATTAATATCGATACGGAGGCCGAATCTATAGTTTTTAGAATTTTTGTCTGTCTGTCTGTTACCGCATCACAAAAAAACCACTGGAGGGATTTTGATGGAATTTGGTATGGTGATAGCTGGTTATTCGGGTCAACATATAGGATACTTTCTACCGCGGGAAAGTGTCTCATTTCTGAGAAAAAATACAAAAACAGCAATGTAAGAGTATACTAATATGTAAAACCTAAGAATTTATTTTTTGGTCATCTGAACGCGGGCGGAGGCGCGGGTAATGCTAGTCTAACTATAAAAAAATGAAAATAAATGATATTTGTCTGCTTGTGACATATATACCATATATGCCTATTTTTAAATCATTAGTGTCACATAATACTTTCTTAGATTTACGCGAATATTTGACATTTTAAATAAAACTATCTTGACAGCATCCATGATGCTGTAAAGCATTCGAAACGTCGGGAAACAAAAATGCAAATAAATCCGCGACAAAATCCGAAAAGATAGTTTTATTTAAAATGTCATTCGTGTCAATCAACTGTGATAAAACTTTAAAGAGTTATTGTGTACGAGTACACGCCTCGGAGATACACGCACGGGAAATTTTCTTATATAGGACCATCAATTTATGATAAAATGGGGCTGGGATATTTTGAGATGTAAAGATATTTTTTTAGTAGATAGCTCGTTTTTTTAAAAAGTAATACGATTATTAAAATGAAAAAAAAAACATATTTTAAATACGAAGATATTATTATTTTACTTTACAGCCTTTTTTAAAATTCCACTGCTGGGCCCTTCAATGCGGGGGGTTCACCACGTTGGACAAGTGCTGGTTAGCAGACTTCACATATTTTTTCTAAACTTGCTAGTTGTAAAATTCTCTCACATATGCAGGTTTCCTCATGATGTTTACCTTCATCGTAAGGCAAGTAGTGTAATCATGTAGAAAATCAGAGGTGCGACACCCGGAATTTGAACCCGCTTCACTTGTTTCCCTAAGTGCTACCACGAGGCTACCACTACCTTGTTGTTTTATTAATATTTAAAAATATATAAAGGAAAGAGAAAAAAATTGTGTATTGAGTTAGCAGACTAACTGGACAAAGTGTAAGGAAGAACATTCTGTTCTGAATTGTTCTACTTTATTTTCCTTATTATGATGATAATGTTTAGTTTTATATATTTGGTTTTTTTTGGTCCTTAACTTACATACACGGTACGTATTTTGTTTTAGTTCACAAAATATAATTCAGTCAAACGTTTGAAGGTTCTGACTTATAAAATGTTTATAAAAGTTCTAATCCGATAAGTTTGTAATATTCGCTGTCCTAGTTATTATTTCAACGTAGCATCAGTTGCTAAGATAATATTATGGTGCTATTTTCTATTATCTATGCTAGGTTCTATTATCGCTAACTTTAAATAGAAAACTAAAAATTATATATATATATATATTCCCGTGGGAATTAATGTGCTCTATAGAGTACATTAATTCCCACGGGATAACTCGTTTACAAGGAATTTCGACAGATATAATTTTTTATATCTATAGAGTGTTGGCCTCGATAGGCCGAGCGAAGTGAGGGTGCATCACTTATAATAATAATGCGTCTAAGTATCTCAACATATCTTTTTAATAAAATATTTGGTTAAATTATTTTGAACTAATAGTACAATGTGTGTTTATAATTTTAAAATAAGCGCTTTATATAAACATTTATGGACAGTGTGATATTTCTAAATAAATAAGAATGAACAAAACAGCTAGCTATCTCTATGTAGGAAAATTAATAAACTAATTGTGCTTCACTTAACATATTTCAAGTAGATATCTACAATATCGACTGTGAAATGGTTGAAAGTACCTTGAATTTGCGAGCAGCACATTGAACATAGCAAATTTTGCATGTCATTCGAAGACTAAAAAGTGCTGAGTTAGGCAATTAAATAAAGATGTTAGTTTTTTATTTATATCAAGTAAAAACCGATCTTAAAAGATATTTAATAATAAGGACAATGAATTGTTACTTATATATAGTGTTACATTTTAGGAGAACACAAAAGTAAATAAAAAAGTCCTGATATTAATTTTATTCATACGAAAAAGGTATGTATTTCCGGCGGAGCAAAAAAATGCCAACTTAGCAAAAAGTCATTGGAGATTGTTTATACTAAGAATCCCATCTGAAACAAAATATCAAGTTTAAATGTTTATTTTTAACAAATTATTAAGCTCACAAAAAACTCGTTTTGTAATTAATGTATGTATTCACAAAACAAATGTTAGTAATTAAATGAGAGATTAGTGTATGATAATATATGTTGAGTGATACATATATGTACATATTTAGGTCTATAAAAAGTTCTGTGTCTAAAAATTCATATATCATATTGAATTAATATAAGTTTATAAGAGTTCTTCACAAACTCACTTTCAGTTTTATAAGAGATTCATAATAATAAAGCTTAAATTATTATCATTAGTTCTTTTTTGTTTCTTTGTAGTTTGTACCTCAAATTAATTATCGGGACTATCATTGATGAATAGTGGAATAAGGTGGGCGGAACTTTTCATATCCAAAAAAGTAAAATATATCATAGAAGATCGACTTCGGTTGAGCAAGGATCAAGTGATAAATTTATTAAGACAATATAGATAGATAAAAAGTGCGTTAAAAATATTCTCATTTGTTAAAATTACAATTCAGATAAGTCCGTGTTGAATGTACTGTTAAAAGACTTCAAAGTTTTACTTGCTTCTCTTCTGCTTTTTAATATAAGTTGAATTAACGCCAACGTGCGTTCACCTGGTCGTGGTGGGGGTCTCTTTAGCGTCCGGCAGTTCAGCCGGGTGCGAAACCAAGAAATGCACAGGGAGGTGGCCCACTTCGATGGGCGGTGTACTATGCGGATTGCTCCATAGTAGAGTCGGCTGTTGGAACAACCCCATGATTTTTGTGGTCTGCTTCGGCAGACCTGCCGTCAGGTCGTCGTGGTTGAGTGCACAAGCGATCCTTCGACGCCTCATTAAGACGGTTGTTAGGTTTTAGTGGGTAGTAGAGGCTTTTTTAGCCAGTGAGTCCCAAAGAACCACTGTATGTCTACATATGGTATGCATAAATGCTTTTCCCAACATTAAAAGAAGATATAACATACAGCAAACTGTTACCTACTTATTAAATCATAAATAGCTTAACTGATAAGATGTAGTGACCTATTATGTAGTATTTACAGCAATGGTCAGAATTTAATGAAACTTATTATTTACCTTGGGACCATTTTCGCTGAGGCACATAGCTAAGAGATTTGACCTCTCACAACCAAGTTCACCATCGCCAATCGTCTGTGTATTTACTAAAATAAGTATATTTATTATTAATTAACATTATTCTACATTAATTTTCTATAAGTATTGTAATTTATGGCATAAAATATACGATTTTGTAAAATAAAGCCGAATACCTTTCCTGCACAGTTCATACAACTCCTTTGCTTTGCCTAGCTTGACTTGATCGTTAGCATAATCTTTTGCAGCCAGCTTGTATGCTTTCTCTGCGTCGAACATACCTTTATCGTCAAGCTACATATATGTAAAACAAAAACCAAATAAAAATATATTTTATTTCCTGATAGCCTTATTAATTTAACAAAATTATTTTCGTGTGTTTTAAGCTCCATAATGACCTATTTTTGTCTGTTGTAATTTTTTTTTAAATAAAAATAAAAAATGTACGCTACAAGCTCCTGTGAAAGCTATGGTGCCAGGAAATCTGCTTTGTTCGAGTTTTTTCTTAGAAATCCTAAACTATCCTTATTATCAACATTTGCAGCATTGTTGTGGAAACACTTTTAATTTTAAACATAATGGATTGTAGTTTTTGCATTTTATAGCTGTTCTATTATATAGCCATAATATGAATCATATTTGCAGTTTTTATAAATTGTCCTTCACGAAGAGGGTTATTTCACAAAATATTATAATTGGATTTTCTTAATATATCTTTTTGCAATAATTATGAAAAAGCCTGGTTTTTTATTTTGTCCAAAGGTACTGTCTGAAAGGCTGTCTTTTATTAGAGGTTGTAGATTTTGGATTCTGTGTCTTTATCCTGCTATTCCGCTAGTATGTTCTTCAGATAACAAAGGAAAGTAATATGACGTTTTTTTAGTTAATCGCTTGCTTTGTATGGGCTGGCACCGATTTCGAAAATATTTGACTAGGTATGTATTTAATAGGTAGGCTTTAATTACTTAGCCAAAGCACACCGACTTCGAAAATATTTGATTAGGTATGTATAGTAAATGAAAACTACCAATCAGTTATTTTTTACTTTTTAGTGCTTTTGTTTGAAGTCGGTTTTTATTTTTTTGTTAAAAAGTTTTTATTTTTCCCTTTTTAGTGTAAACAGTAGTAGCAAAGTAAGAATTCTAACGTGTTAGGCTTGTCAAATCAAACAAAATAAGCCCAAACTCAAAGTATCTACTATTAGCCGTTGAAGAGTTCCATCTATCCACCTTCTGGCCTTACCATCAGATCAGGTCAACAACACCGAACCACTGTACTATCAACGGAAATAGAAATACTTGCAAAATTTCAAGTCAATACGACAATTAGAAGTAGGTTAAATTCATCATTAGTTGTTTTTCCACCCTTAGGGGTGGTATTTTTTTTTGAAATTTAAATGGGACCAATCTGGAAGTATACCCTTTCAAACAAAACAAAAATTGTCCAAATCGGTTACTAAATGACGGAGTTCTGAGGTAACAAACATAAAAAAAAAAGAAAAAAAAAAAAAAAAAAAAAACATACAGTCGAATTGAGAACCTCCTCCTTTTTGAAGTCGGTTGAAAATGTTATTCACTTATATTTTACCTTACCCATTCAATTGTTTTGAAAATGCAAGCCGCTATGCACTTAGCTTTTGTGGACTCAGGTATTTTACGATTGTTTTTCATTTGTGGAAACTCGCCGCCTGCAAATGGATCCTTGCTGCATTTTACGGCTAGTTGGATGAACCATTTCTTTATTTCTTCGTTTGTTCGGGCCTCCTGAAAAAAGTATATCATTTGGATATTCTGTTTCTAAAATAAATTACCTATTACGTAATTCTATTTATACATCAAATCGTGTTAAGTGAAAATTTCCATAATATAGTATTTTGTACGATACAAGAAATACGATACACTAACCCATTGAGATATTTTGTTTGTTTTTTATCGTAAAAAACGAGTTATTCGTGGGTCTTGTGGAAAAGTATGGAGCTTTTCATACTAATATTATAAAGAGGTAAAGTTTGGAAAATGGGAATGAAAGTTTATATATAAACCCAGGGACGAACCCGAGCGAAGCGAGGGTGAGTTGCTAGTAAGTAATATTGTAAAGATGTATTTTTATTTATTTGTTTTTAAATGCTAAATTTATGTATGATATCCATCAGGTTATTCTAAAAGTTAAGTTAGATAAAATAACAAAAAAAAACGTGAGTGTGTAGTTGTGTACGCACGTAAAAAGTTATACTTCTTTGGCGTAACAGAACAATAATATCTAAAGATTTCATCCCGTATGTCACAGTTCTGTCTGTTTGTAAAAGGAATGCAGCTAACTTCATCATTTCGCTTTCAGCTAACTTCATCATGTCGTTTTTTGGCTGTCGGTGTGCGCGCGCATCGTAAAAATTTTACTCTCATAATTTTTTGCAACGTTCCAAAAGAAGTATAACTTCAAAAATATAAATAGAAAAACGTTTCGAAATGTCGAGTCACATTAAACCAAATCTTTTTGTGTGCTCTATGTTTGTATCTGCAACTTCCCGGAACGGCTGAAATTATGTTACCGAGGCTTCCTTTGATGATGAGAAAATTAGACGATACAAATTGTTAACTTTTTTTAGCCCGGTAAAAGACATCCCAAATAAAGCATAGCAAAAGAGTGGCTTAATCGTATTTCACATGACTTGGTGGGTGGATTCATTGGTCAAAAGCTAAAGTTATGTGAAATAGGGGATAGAGGTGAGTGTTTTGACACAGATGTCGAGAAGGTTTAGCAAAACGAAGGAAAGTGTCGTTGGTAATGAGGACATTTTTTTTCTTTTCTACTTATAATTAATGTCAAAAAATCTTATTTAATGTATCTACTAATATTTTATTAATTTATTTTTTAAACGCATTTACTTTAAGTTTTAATAGAACATATAAAATGTAAAAGAAAAATACTTACAAATGTTGATCCCATAAAACAACACATAAATAAAATGTGTAACCATGCTTTCATGTTTGTGGCTGGTACTTTACTAACTTAATTTTACAAAATTGTCATTTTTATTTATGTAATTTTTATCTATTGTATATATAAATTCGAATATAATAATATAATGTTCTTTTAATTTTAGTCGATTTAGATTCTTTCCATTGCTCGCAGGAAAATATTATCAAATTGATAGCTTACGTCCCACAATTATTATATATAGCTTTTTTTCTATTGCAGTTGCGTTTAAAAATTATTTCCATACGAGACTGTGCTTTTTATAATTTATGAGAGTATCATCCATATTTAATTTGATTTTTTGTAATTTCACTACATAATTGTGAAATTTACATGAGACGCCTACCTACTTTTCAACAATGTAGAACTCGATTAGTCTTAGAACAAAAGGCTATGTATGACATACAGACACACATGGCGAAATTATAATTTTTCCTTTTTGAGGAAAGAATTCATTCCGTTTTAAATAAAGAATTATACATTTTGGCCGTTTTCACTAATTTAATTGTTATAAGCTTTGAATTTTGAAACTTAATAAATAAAATGTATAGATGTTTTTATTATTATCTTTCTCGTCCTTTTAATTTTGATATAGGTACATCCTTAAATATAATATTTTTTTAGTTGAACGAATATTAATTATTATTTAAATTTGCTTGAAAGAGTTAATAGTTAAAATCTTTGTTCTCTACGCTAGGTATTTTATATAAAATCTATATCATATTTGATGATGATGATGATAAAATGATGAAATAAACTTTATTCAATTAGACTTATTACAAGTGCTTTTGAATCGTCAATTTAATGTAAGCGTCAATGTAGTCGGTCCGTGAAGAAGCTACCATCGGCGCGGACAGCAGTTCAGCTGAAAGAGCCGGCAAGAAACTCAACAGTTGCTCTTTTAAATATTGAAGTTACTTTTAGTTTATTAACATAACATATAGATAGCCCGCATATGAGCAATATTTCTCAATTCCACACATTTCCATCAACAAGAAACTTTTGAACAGTGTAATACGCTTTGCTCAATAAAATATGTATTTTTGTTTCTTTATATACTGACGTCTAAAGTTTGTTTTTGCTCCCAGTTGATTTAATAAGCAAAGACACTTTAGATGACGTGTTGGCTGATATTTTGATCACGAAGGTTGCCTTCTTAGCCTATATAGTCAAAATTTTAAAATCTTTTTGTATTTTATAGTCATGAACGAATTAACCACTTCGTTCATGTTTATAGTTATCCATGCTGTTTTGCAATACGTTGTTGCATTTTCGTGTAGTCACCTAAAATGATAATATTAAATTATCTATATAAATTGTCTATATGAAATTAATGTTGTAAAGTTGTTGTTATTTATAAATTCTTTATTTCTAAAAAAAGGAAAAAAAATTGTGGTTCCGCTGAGTTTTTATCGCTAGTTCTTCTCAGGACAGAAGTTTTTTCTTTTCGAACTGGTGGAAGACTCATGAAGTTCAGTAAAAAATTATACTAATAATGTAATGCTGAATATAATATTTTGGATTTTAATTTCAAGCTATGCCTTTGTCTTACGTCATCAAACGTCATTGACGATGATTACGCAAATCAGTGGCGGCATAATAATATAACTCGTGAGTATAAATAAAAGATGATAGTATGATTAAAATACAATATAATTATTTTTTCTATACGTATAATCACATTTTTGTATTCATATATTTATATTATTACATATGCATAATTTTTTGTTTAACTGTATGGATGTTGTTGTGCTAATTATGTTAATATTAGAGTAATAAAAACTTTCATTATAAGAAAGACCTACAGATTACCGTCACAGTTTAATTGATAAATCACTAAATATATACAAAAATAAAAATAAAGCTCTCCACCGTATCAGTCTGTCTGTCTGAATGAGATAAGCTCAAAAACTTCCGAACGTGTGTTGTGAAAATGGAGTGATTCCTGAGGAAGGAATTAACAAAAAAACTTAATGAATTATACACCTGAAGGTGTATAATTTTTTAAGTTTTTTTGTAAATTGACGTTGACGTTGATTGACGTTGACGTTGATTGTTGAAGATGTCGTAAAAAAGCATACCGACTAGGAGCTTCATTGTTGTGCACCGCGTAAACTAATAAAGTTATCTATATGAAAACAATGTATGACACAATGTATAATTGATCTCTTAAAAAGATCTTCCTTTTAAACTGTAATAATGTATGACTTGGTACTATATCCGGTCTACACCGGACCGGTCATACAGCGAATACTACCTACAAATAAAATATAATACTAAAATATAGTACTAGTAATAAAAAAAAAATTAAACATATATTATATATTTTTTATTTAGTTATTTAGTGTAGTTTATTTTAGTTTATTGCACTAATAAAAAATAATAATTATAGTATATATTGCACAAAAAAGGGTTTTAGTTCTTTATTTCTATTCTTTTAGTTATTAAAGTAGACATTACGGTTCTCATAACTAAACTCTAAATGCATTCCAAGATCGTACGTTTTTTTCCAAACAATGAAATTGCATATAATTGTCGTTACGAGGAAGACGTCCAAATAACCATGAATTAGGTTCTAGCGGAAAAAAACTTCTGCTAATTGATCGTTATCTTTTTTCTAGAACATACAGATATTACAGTACGTATATGACTTTACATTAAAGTTACGTAAATGTGTTGTATTTTAGTTCTGCCTCGCTAAATATGCCAAACCGATTTTGATAAAGTTTAGGATAAAAGTAACGTTCTCAAAATAAATAAGCTTCTATTTATTCTGTAAAAATAAAAGGGTTCTATGAAACTGGAGAGGAAAGAAATTATACTACAATTTCGAAAAAAATATTTGGCACGATTATTATTTTTGTAAATAGACGGGAATAGACGGAAAATAGCCCCTTCAGTTTCTTCTCCATTCTGCAAGCTTGACATTAATTATTATAATTACTAGCAAAACCCCGTGGCTCCGCTCGCGCTAAAACTCCAAATAATGGCTAAAAAGGTAGTTTCATACAAACTCTCATTCCCTATTTTATCCCCTTATAGGATGAATTTAGGAAAATGCTAAAACACGTATTTATTTAATTTTATTGAAGAGCATTAATACTAAGTTTTAAGTAATTCTGATCATAATTTTTTTTAGATTGTATTATAAAGTGTTTTCACGTAGGAATTAGGTAATCTCCCACGGTACAAAATAGCCTATGCCACTCTCCAGCCCTCCAACTAACTCCACACAAAAAATCACGCATATCCTTCACTCCGTTTCGACGTGAAAGAAGGACAATCAAACACACTTTCACATTTATATTGTTAAGTATAGATTACCATAGTCCCTGTAATGCTTTACATTTTTTATGTATATAAGTATTATATAAGAATGTTTTATAATTCCTACAACATAATAAAAACATTGTATTTTAATATTTATGTCTGAGTAGGGAATCCATCTTTTTACACACGACACATTTTATTTATTAAAAACCGTATGGCATACGATCTTAGTTCCGTAAGTAAAACAGCATTAAATTAAGTTATATCATAATTTATTTACTAAGGGAAGTAAAATATTGCAGGATTATGATTATAAATACATTTCGTTATATAGAACGATGCTTCACATATATCTTTGTAGGTGTCCGCTGAAATGAAAAATAAAGTTCTATATTAATAAAGATAATATAAATTTGAGCTTCTGCAAAAATATTGATCTGTATTATTTTATTTTATCTTTGTTACGCAAAAAAAATGTTGGATACTTTCTGTGTTATTTCATTGGCAATTGATTTTTTCCTCAGTTGACCTTATCGTATACTGTGAATATATTTATTAATATAAATAATTTTACCGATTTTCTTGCACGCAGTTAACGCTTCTTTAGCAGGCTCTTTTATCTCATCTGGCAAAAGTAAATCTGCTTGTTTGATTGCTGCTTCATAATTGATCTTGTTATTTTTAATCTGTAATAAGCGACATTGTTTTTTCTTTTAAATCATGGCTATTATTCTCGACGGTTAATCAGACAGTTAGGTACCTACATGTCTTTCTGCGCAATATTCGCAACATGCGGGAATCGAAGCCGCGAACTAAAGCATACTGCCAGAAATAAAATAAATATAAAAAATATTTTAGCCAGGTTATTGTACATTGTTCATTGGTAATATATGTATACATAATTAGTGGATAATTTTTTAAAAGCTTACTTTGTATATATTGCACGCAACAAGACTAACGACACACGTGCTTAACCGCTAAGAAGAGGTGTTTAGAAGTAAACACATAAAAAGATGAAAAACACGGCAATGACAATAGCAAAAAGCAAAAGAAAAAAATATTTTTGGGTGAGAAATTAAACAAAAGCAGTCAAGCGACTACTAGTATTACAATAAAGATTTTTGTTTTACCGCATTAGCCATTTTCATAATGCAGGCTGTATAGCACATAACATCTCTGTCTTCAATAAATTCGCCTTTGATTAGTGGATCAATTTTTTCTGAAAAAAAAGAAATATATATATATATATATATATATATATATATATATATATATATATATATATATATATATATTTAATACTTTCTTAGATTTACGCGAATACTTGACATTTTAAATAAAACTATTTTTTCGCGAATTTATTTTTTTACTTTTACTTTACAGCATTCATGGTCACGGGAGAGACTGAGGTGTTAGATGTCTCTAAGGTATTATATAGTTGTTACAGACATATATATATATTTATATATATATATTTTTGGTTAGGAATTGGTACTGTAAAATAAGGATAAGTCAATTCTATAAAACTGATCACGATTATATTTATTCTATTATTTTGTTTCATAAGAAATGAAAAGATCTGAACAGGGGAGGAAAATTACGGGAAAAAGCTAGCCTTATACAAAAAGGAAACTGATTTAATAAACATATTAATTAGCCTGACTAATAAAGTTTAGAGAGAATATTCATTCGACGTAGACTCATTGATATCATTTAGATTGCTCTATCATAGTTGATTCGTCCTCCGTATTAAGTCTACTCAAAGATGAAACACTAAAGTTAAGATTTTTTTACAATATATTGGTTTTACACTTTATAATATAACCATTTTAGTTCACTTACCATCTGACACGTTATTTTTCGGTTGACAAGTTTTACGCATCATTTTTCCTGTGGATTTTATCTGTTTCATGGTCATCTGAGAATTGTTAAAAGCATTGTAATCAAATCTACATTATAACTTTTATAGTGCTATAAATTTATTTAAATAAATGTGTGAGCTGATCGTGCATAATTTCTGTTGTATTACTCATAGAGTAATATGTACAGCATAGAGTATACAGCATAGAGTAATATTTGAAAGTCTTCATAATTATTTTCTTTAAGTACGTGCTTACACTATATTTTTTATAATAATATCAAACTTACTACTTTAACTTTTAAATACTTACTGCGTCACAGAATGTAAGAAAAAATAAAAATTTTACGATCGTAATGAAAACTGACATGGCCTAGGCTTTTCTGTGGGGCCTTGATCTTGTCTGCTCATTTATATGACGTGTGATAATTGATTAATGATAGTGGCATATTTATCACGTATTAATGGTGTCGATATAAACACCATGTATCAAATAAAAAAAAACATATTTAATAAGTATATTTTAGTACTTATTCATTTTTTCTTGCTTTTTTATAGCATTTTTGTATTGTACTATATATTCTGTATTTTTACATTTAAATATCATACATCGGTTTTATTTTTAGGTTAAATCAAAAATACATATTTACTTAAGTGAAATATTCTTTCGAAAGTCGTCCGTCTTATTTTTCCTTAAAATTCTTTTTTTCATATTAATTGTTTAGGTTTTTGAAAATAATTAAAGACAAAAATAATTTAAATGGAAATAATACGTATACAAATAAACGTATTCTTATAATGATTAAAGCGATAAAATAGCTTTGTGGTTACTCTACTCAACACAAAACGTAATTTACTATAATTATAACTTACTTGTTGTTAATTGATATACACGGTGACTTCTATGATCGAGAAATAATAAAATCTTGTTTTATATTCAGCATACGTCTCTAATTAATATTTGGAACAAACGAGTAACTTCATAGTAATGAACTTTGCTTTTTTAGGATTCCTTACCCGCAGGGTGCTAACGGAACCCTATTACTAAGCCTCAGCTGTCTGTCCTTCCGTCCCTCTGCCTGAGAGCTGTATCTTATGAACCGTAATAGATAGAGAGTTGAAATTATACTTTTTATTCTTTATCTTTTATTCTATTATATTATCGATTACGAACGTTAAAAATTTTTTCTTCTATTTTTATTTTTATTATTTGTTGTTATTGCGGCATTAGAAATACATAGTTTGTAAAAATTTAACTCTCTACATATTACGGTTCGTGAGATACAGCCCTCTGACAGACGGACGGACGGACAGCGGAGGCTTAGTAATAGGGTTCTGTTGGCACCTTTCGGGCACGAACCCTAATTAAAAGTACGATGATACGGAACCCTTCGTGTGCGGTTTCGATTCGACTCGCACTTGATCGATTTTTATTTATTATAAGTAAAAAGATAAAATATAGGTACATATACATTGCGAGAAACAATTTATGTGTCGAGAAAAAATATCTCTTTCCGGGCCACAAGCTATCTAATGAGAAAAGTCACAGCCAAAAATAACACTTTTACGTTTATAATATTAATACCTATAGATTATTGAGGTACTTCTAATATTTTTTTATGATAAATGAAAAGATCCCGACGAAACCAGCATGTCTAAGAGAACCTAACTAGATTTCGCATGACGAATTAAGTCCATCTCGCTTTTATCCAGCATGATGGAAATATGGCCTAATTCCACAGAGATGAGGTCCATGCAATTGCACAGCAGTGAGACCAGGGCCGGATTCCACCTAAGCGCCGCCCCTGGGCACAGTAAAAAAAGCCGCCCTATTATCGAAATTTTACTAAATATGGGTAAAGTTTCGATATTTTTTTGTCTTTTCGTTTCTGTGTTTTCGTTTTTTTGTCCAGTGTAAATCCAACGCTGAGTGGGACGTTAAAGAGATTGAATTATTATCATATTTTTTATATTATATGCACATATTATGTCAATTGCTTAATTCATTCAGACCAACGACGTAAAAGTAACTCCAACATTGTATGCTATTTATCTTACATAATAGATAGCTCACAGTTTGATTGAGGGTGTATGTATATTCACAAGACAGTAATAAGAGGTTTTGTCTATTATCAATCAATCACGAGTAAAACATCTTGATATAAAAACTGAATGTATTTCTAAATATAATTCTTTTCCAATATGACAATTCAGGGATCTAGTTTACTTTGTGTCGTTGTGCTTTGCTTTATTCACTTCGACCTTACATATGCGGTAAGCTTTAGTTACATATATTTAATAGATTATGTTTTCATAATACTTTCTTAGATTTACGCGAATATTTGACATCTTAAATAAAACTATCTTTTCGGAATATTTTTCGGATTTATTTTGATTTTTGGTTCCCGAAGTTTCGAATGCTTTACAGCAATCATGGTCACAGGAGAGACTAAGGTTATAGGTGTCTACGTTGGGAACCCAATGTAGCGGGTTAAAATCCAGGGTCTCGCACCTCACCATACCGCGAAATATTGTGTTGTTTTTACTTACGTACTCTTTTGGGTTAACATTACAATAAAATATTTACGTTTTCATAATACATATTAAGAAAACGATTACATTTTGAAAACTATTACATTTTACGAAAATTATTACATTTTGGCAGAACTAAATCCTCGATATGCGAGTTAGACTCTCGTTTGCCCGATTTTTATATAGATTGTGCGCTAGTGTAGAGTGAGGTCTCTAAAATTGTCAAATGAGAATTGACACTGAATGGTAACTGCTTACGAGTTTTTTTTATCGCGGATACTCACCAATTATTCATGGTTATTGTAAATGTTGTGCTATTTCTGATTAATTATGGCAAACACGGTACGGCACAACAAATGTTAAGTAGAGATAAAAAAAAGAGAAGAAGACAAAAGAAGACCTAAGAATAAGTCAATATTTTATCTATTTGGTTATTATATATTAATTATGTAAAACAAAATCATGATAAACGGGTGCCGCGCTAATAACTATTAATATTATCTACATTCATCATCAGTCCATTTTAATATACATTTCTTGTATATTAAAATGGACTACTGCCGTACTAATAATTAATTTTTCATTTTTGACCAGCGATTGGACCTTAATTCTCAGCGGCGCCAACTGGTGCTACCAGAAACGATAGCCCTCAATTTTTTATGGTGGTCGAAGTGCCAAATTTTGACTTATCTTAATTAATTAGAAAAGGAAATTTAGTAGGAAGACATGAATCAAACTCGCAATCTTTTCTTCACCCTATTTAACTGTATTGAAAATGTAATGATATTTTTCAATACAGCTCTGAGACTTTATGATAGATTTTTTGAAATTAAGAAACAAGTAATATAAGATACGAGAAATAATTTAATTGATTATATAAATAAAGGTTGATCCCGGTTAACGCTAGTCAAATTAACTGCATAAAGTACAATATAAATGATGTGCCATAAAGATACGTTTTAATACATAATGTATAATAACTATTCTAACAATATAAACGATTAAAGATCAAGTTACAAATTAGTGTTGATCTTCGTATTAAATATGGGATATAATTATTATAACTTACTCTTTCTTAGATGACGAGGCAACAACTGAAAAATTCTGGAAAACTCATGAAGAAGTCATGCATGCCGAAAAACGACGTAACGGAAGGTGAATAAAATGTACACATTTATAAAATAATACGTTCAACATTTACACGTAATTGCCTTACATTATACATGTTATTATCGCACATAAGCATTATAATGCTTTAACCTATAATACATAATGTCCTCCAGACACTCCTAGCTACTAGACCACCGAGGCTGTTAAACTTTTACGTATATTAATTGTTAAATAAGTTTTGCATATGATGAAATATAAGTACCTATATTAAATAATTTTACCATGCTAGTACTTCTACTCCTAAATACAATAAATATTGTTGAATATTTATACCATAGAATAGTTGACGTTGAACTATGATAATAATAAAGTTTAGTCGGCTCTTTCGACGAACCCTAATTAGATAGAGCAAAAACAGTTAGTTGACACACTTTAACTTTACCGTGATTTATAAAATTAATTTATAAAAAAACTATAAGCAATAATTTGGATATCGTTATCCATAGCTTTAATATTTATTTATTTTTCATATACCTAAATAATTCATGTTAATATTTTAGAACAAGTTGGTCAAATAGAGCAAGGAAAATTCTTGGAAGAGAGAAATGTTATGTGTTATATCGCTTGCATTTATAGTATGACTCAAGTTGTAAGTATTGCCATTTTCAAATAGTATTTGTTATAATAACATTAGTATTATTTGCACTTTTCCGTTCCTCACTTTTCACTCATATAGAGATTTTGAGGGTAGCGTTTAAGTACATATAATAAAATGTACTAAGCCGAATCTGTACATTAAATATTTTTTGGAAAATCATATTGCAATAAACATTGTTATCGATACTATAGTTTTTAGATAAAATCTATAGTTTTTAGAATTTTTGTCTGTCTGTTACCGTATCACAGAAAAACCACTGGAGGGATTTTGATGATTTGGTATGACCATAGCTGGTTATCCGGGTCAACATATAGGATACTTTTTACCGCGGAAAATATCTCATTTCTGAGAAAAGATACAAAAACTGCAATGTAAGAGTATACTAATATGTAAAGCCTAAGAATTTGGTTTTTGGTCATCTGAACGCGGGCGGAGCCGCGGGCAAAGCTAGTAATAGCTATAAAAGAAAGAGATATTCTCAAGTCAGTTCTTGATTATTATTATCTGTTGTGTACACATGTATCAAACATGTTTTTTCTCTACCGAAATTTCTATTCTGTATCAAGCTATTGTAGCTTAATTAATATGACCGGAATAATATGCATAATCAATTTATTGTATTATATTTATTTATTTTTATTGTATATGTTATTGTATTTATTTTTGGAAAATTTTAAGGTTAAAAATAATAAATTAAACTACGATGCAATTATAAAACAAGTAGATATGATGTTCCCGGTTGATATGCGGGATGCCGTTAAGTCTGCAGTGGAAAAATGCAAAGATATAGGTAAATACTCTAACTTTAGTAATTTAATTTCATATAATATTAATAGACCCGATAGTGGTGTCCTATCCGAACATATATATAATTCTTCTGTACGGTATGTCACTGATCTCCTACTAAACGGCTGAATTGATTTTGATGATTTTTTTGTGTAGTATTTGTCCCTGGACGATCCCGAATCCTAGAACCCAACTGCAGTGCTACCAACCGGATCAAATTTCATCAAAAGCGGTCCAGCCAATCCAGAAGTTCAATGAAACACACACGTACAAAAGAATTATATACATAAAGACGTATTAATTTAAACAACTAATTACATATTTTTAGACAATCGACTTCTAAAATATAAATATGTAAAACTGTATGTTTTAGCATCTCTAAAACGCTATTTCATATAGCTTAATTAATATTGATAGTAAGAATAATAACAGTGTAAATATCGCGAGTTCGACTTTACTTCGAGTTATTGTACATATGAAGATATATGTAATGTATGAAGATATATGTAATATGTATGTCTCAATTAAGCTCTCCATTATTCTAGTCCTTTATAATTTAGTAATGTAATAGATACAATCTATATACTTTTATTATGATTAAATTAAGTTGTTTATAAATTATTTTGTATTTTAGGGAAGAAATATAAAGACATATGTGAAGCATCATACTGGACTGCCAAGTGTATGTACGACCAAGATCCTGCAAATTTTGTGTTCCCTTAAAAGTTGTTAAAAGTTATAAAATAAAGTTTTATCGTTGCGTATCTGAAGTTTTTAACCGACTTCTTCAAAAAGGAGGAGGTTCTTAATTCGGCTGTGTTTTTTATGCTTGTTACCTCAGAACTCCGTCATTTATTAACCGATTTGGACAATTTTTGTTGTGTTTGATGGTCCCAAATTGGTTCCAAAAAAAATACCACCTCTAAGGGTGGAAAAATAGCTAATGATGAATTTAACCTTATTCTAATTGTCATATTGACTTGAAACTTTACGAGTGTTTCTATTTCTGTTGATAGTGCAGTGGTTCGGTATCGTCCAAGTCCAGTAAGGCCAGTAGGTGGATAGGTGGAACTCTTCAACGGCTAATAGTAGATATTTTGAGTTTGGCTTATTTTGTTTGATTTGATAAGCCTAATACGTTAGAATCGGATTTTAGAGCCAGAATTTTTAGTGTTACTAATAAAAGCGTATTTTAGTTTTACAGTCTTCATATAAAAATTGGTATCAAACTAACTTAAACGGCTTAAGCGAAAATTGTATTAAAATACTTTTTCTTACTTTACTACTACTTTGTCTACACTAAAAAGAAAAAAAGAAAAACTTTTGAAGAAAAAAATAAAAACCAATAATTTGTATGGGTTGGCACCGACTTCGAAAATATTTAATTAGGTATCTATTGCAAATGAAAACTACCAATCAGTTATTTTTTACCTTTTTAGTGATTTGTTTGAAGTCGGTTTTTATTTTTTTCTTAAGAGGATTGTGAAGTGCCGATACGCGGCGAGAGTAGGTATTTTTAAAAATGCTATCTGTTTCATACCGCTTTGCATCCCCCCGGCAGTGAACAACACAAATACAACATACGCAAATTCTCACACACACTATGATAGCAGCAGCCGGTGACGCGCGGCGCTTGCGGGGGGCGGGGGCGGGGGCGGCGCGACTCGGCGCAAGAGCAATTTCAAAGTTTATCTAATATCTTCGGTTTGCGTACAATATACATTCCCTACAAGTTACATCGCACCTTTATTCATAAAGGAACTGAAATAACTCTAAATTACAATTTTGTGGCGAATATCATTTAAAATTTGACTTGTTTAGATTGATGACTTCAAAAAATCATAGAAAAATAAATATGTGATTTAGATCAATTACAAAAAGCTCGTTCCAAAAGTTGAAAGTTTTAGAATTTTTTGTTGTTTATGTACTAATAGACCCATCGGAATCCTTTTATTTTTAAAATAATTTATTTATTGCAAACCTGAAGTTTTATGATTTTAAAATGTTAGCAGGTATATAAGGAATAGAAATTCATAAAATGACCTGATCATGAATGATGATGATTTACGATTTTTTAACAAATCTATGACTAAATTTTATAAAATATATCAACTTAATTTTTTAAAATATATTTTTAACTAATGAATAAACAAGATTAGATTACGAATGAATTTCATTTCTTTTTAGTAATTGTCCTAAAATCATTTTTTTCAGAAAAATCAATAAAATTAACTGCAAAAACTAATAAAATATCGATAAATTCGAAAAAATTATAACGAATAGTATGTGTATATTTATAAATATACATATGCTATTCGTAATATTTTTTTAAAATTATAACGAATATTATAAATTATAACGAATATAAAATTAAAAATATAAATTTTACAAAAATAAAAGTATTTTTATTGCTCCTTCTAAACGGTAGTAGTCCAGCAATTAGCAAAAGAAAGCGCGTGACCGGTGGAGGGCGAGGGGTGGAGGGGTGTAGGAAGACCCTTACTCATTTAAACTTATACAAACAAAAATCTCGAAAACTTTGAGGTTATCGTAGAAAGTGTTATTTATCAAAGTTGTAGATTTTTACTAGACCTTTTACATTTGTAGAAAATATTTTTCGATAGAACGTCACAGTGAGCCGGAAATTGAAAAAAACTATTTTTCAACGCTTTGCGGTCTCCCGTTTCTCGAGTGTAGCTGGACAGATGGGGCATTTTACGAATTTCTAATCCTTATATACCTGCTAACATTTGAAAATTATAAAACTTCAGGTTTTCAATATATTGTTGTCAGATTCCGATTGGACTATAATACTAGTATACATACCAAATTTTAGCTTTCTAGGACTTCAGGAAGTACCCTAAGAGTTTTGATGATCATCAGTGAGTCAGTGACGAAATCGGAGTTTTTTAGATATCAATAAAATCTAATGTAAAAGAGCTATGCAATTGAAACTTTTTATGTTTAGCTAGCATTGCCCGCGGCTCCGCCCGCGTTCATATGACCAAAAACAAATTCGTAGGTTTTACATATTAGTATATTCGTACATTGCAGTTTTGTATTTTTTCTCAGAAATGAGATATTTTCCCGCGATAATCCTATATGTTGATCCGAATACCACCACCAGCTACCACCACACCAAATTTCATCAAAATATCTCCAGTGGTTTTTCTAACAGACAGACAGACATACAGACAGACAGACAAAAATTCAAAAAACTATAGATTCGGCCTCTGTATCGATAATAATGTTTATTTCAATAATATTTTCCAAAAAATATTTAATGTACAGATACGGCTTAGTTACAATCTATACATACGAGTATAATAAAATTCTAAACTTTGGATTGAATCCTTTCAGTATCGATCGATATATCGATATTACCTTCTCCTCTCTAGGAGATAATAATATCGATAGCACCTTCAACATCACTACAGTCTAAAATATGCCCCTGCCCCCGACCCGTATGGTGCGATAGAGAGAGTTGCATTTCTTAGACTCAATTACCTACATTTCCTTTTTGAAATATTGTTTCGGGCGATAACGTTTTCACCCCCCTAAACATTAACGAAATGAGACGATTTTGGTCTCATTAGATTCAGTACACCTTAATCTAGGTCTGTACGTTTTCTTTTTTTTGTAATTCAGTTTAGTTTAATTTAAAAAAATAAAAACGCTGGAGGAAGTTTTTAGGTCAAAACTATAGATATTTAGATGCTAATAACTTCTGTCGTACGCAATATTTCAAAAAAATAAAAACGTACGGACCTAGATTTTGATTATATCTACAACATTTCCAAAAATTATGAAAATTAGACTATGTTTAAGGGGGGAAAAACGTTATCGCTTTTTGTATGAAAATTTACAGGTTCACAATCCTCTTAATAAGTTTTTATTTGGATTGTTGTGTGAAGATTTTAAAATACAGGCATGATGCCTATGCGTATAATTTAGTACTATATTGTTTACAGGTCAAAAACGTACTTAGCGAATTATGTATAACACATACATACATATTCATATAATCCTATATGCTACTCAATATTTTGTTCTATTTTTGTTCATGGCTATTGCTGATTTTAATGTGATGAAGTTTGGTTCTTATTTGAGATATCTTCATACATTGTCTTGATTTATTTGAAATAAACATGCTATAGGGCTTTGGCGAATACTAAATATTTGCACGAGCCTCTGTGCATGGCTTTATTAATTAGACAATATTAGTCGTGTGACCTTAAAGTTGCATGGCTAGTGGCTACTTTGGCTTACAAGATACAATAATGTGAAGTTGCCTGCCGTCATCTAACCTGTTGAAACCAAATGACTGCGACTGTCGTCACTAATACGTAATCGGAAATCTACCAATTTGAAATTAAAGGCTAAAAGCAGAAATTGTCTGATATATGCTCGTCGTTTTATTAAATGAAAATTATTTAAAGAACATACCTTTCTGTTGCCGTTAAACGTTTCGATGTCGCAAATATCATGTAATTGTGTCTATTAATATGTGATTTCTACAATTACAAGGCGAATTCCAAAATTTAGGCACTTTATGTAAATTATAGACTTTCCGTATGACTTCATTATTCCATTTTGAAATCCTTCTTTTCATTCGTTAACTAAACTTTGTCAAGAATTGCCGAAATTCAGCTATTGATACATATCGAATAATGAATAAAGGATCACTTTTATTAATTATGTTTGTGTTAAGTTTTAATTTTGTTAATGGGGTAAGTCTATTTTCTAAATGGAACGTTATTTTTTTTTAAGTATTTTTTTTAATTTTCTGGGATTTTGAATAAAATTATTTCTTTTTATAATAATTCATGATAATAGATGACAAGGGCTCAACTAAAGAAAACCTTGACAATAATGAAGAATCAGTGTATGCCGAAACATAAAGTGACTAATGGTAAGTTTGATAAATATTTTTTATTATTAACAATAAAATAGAGCTGAATTAGAATCATACTATAATTATATAATAGATATATTATATGTTTGAAGTAAACAACTTAGTGCTAAATGTAAAAATATTTTGTTGTGAAATGTATAAAAACAATTTTAGTCTGGTTCTCAACATTGAAATATTGGAAATAACTGAATCTGCGCTACGAGTAGGTATGTTAGGCATGACATTAGATTCTTAACTACGTGGAACCCCCATACGTTAATACTAGCGGTTAACTCAGCTCCGCCGCCTTTACCACCAGACAGATGTCAACATTGCCCGACTTGTATATTTTAGGTATTCATATAGTATTTTATCTTGCGGGATACTACTTTTGGACAGAGTTGCTGTAATTATTTCGATGTTCATCATGCTCATTATTCAAAAAAGAGCAGGGCGGCCTCTTTATGTTCTGATACGTCAGGATTCCTTGCGATTTCTTTTCAAACAATGTAATATACTCGTAAGAATTAAGTAATTATAATATGAAAAAAAGTGATAGATACACGGTAAATTAAAATAGAATTAAGTATGTATCGCTCTAAATTTATCCTTTCGCCTATATGTAATTCCACAAACTGTCTTAAAATTACCTTTTTTTTTAAAAAAAGAAGTAAAATAGGGTATACTACTGAGTTTTTATTAATGGTAAAATAGTATAAGTATACTACTAGTATATATAATACTGAGTTCAAAAATTTCTTATTGTGATCCAAATTCCACAAAATTAAATATTATTAATATTGTAAGTCGGCATTTAAAAGAGGTGCTGAGTTTCACGCCGAGTCTTTTCAGGAGAAGTGCATTTAGAGGCGGTGGATATTTCCTCTTGTATCTGTGCATACTTGTGCATTTCGTAGTAAGAATGGACGTCATAATCGAAATCAGTTAACAGGAAAGGTTTAACTTCTATAAGTAAATGGCATCTATGGACCATTTTTTGCTTTTTAATATATATAATAAACTTAGTTCATTATTTTACAGAAAAAGTTGGTAGAATCGAGCAAGGAGAGTTCATAAAAGACCACGATGTCATGTGCTTTATTTCATGTGTTTACAAAACTGCTCAAGTCGTAAGTAAAGGATTATTTTTAAACTAAGTTTAACATAAAATAAGTTATTTTCAGTGAAGTAATAATTTATATTCAGTAAGGTATTAAAATCAAAATTATTTATCAAAATCTATCATATTTGGAAAAGAAATAGAGGGAATAAAATCTTGTAGGTATTGAAATATATTGTGTAAAAACGATTTGAAATTTAGTAAAATTAAAATGAATTTTCTACAAAGCATACATATACATAATGAATCCTTCAATCATTTTTTGTTAATTAAAGTATTTATATTATATTAGGTAAAAAATAATAGACTTGACAAGGATTTGATTTCGAAGCAAATTGATGTTCTCTACCCGGCCGAAATAAGGGAAGCAGTAAAGCTCTCCGTCAGTAAATGCGTTGGTATACGTAAGTATTTCATTTATTATTTTTTATTATTTAATGTAATACTATCTCAATGTGGTGTAAATTCATTAAGTTTATGATTATAGTGCTTATGTTTCTTACACGAGCGAAATGTAATCGTGCGGTATAATTATAAATTGAATTAATGTTTATGTTATTCAATAATATTAAATACTAGCAACTCACCCTCGCTTCGCTCGTCCCTAGGAACATTTTATCTTTTTGAGATCAGACACTTCAATTTTATTTATCTGTATGTTGATGTTCTCTCCTGACCGATTCCGGCCACGGCGGCCAATCTTATTGAGACTAGCCAGCTGCGCAGGAGATATTATAGTGCACAAGCGCAGACACAACGTGCACTCTCTATTCCTGTTACACTCATTCTCCGGTGGGACGACTACTCGACACGACCGGTGAGAGTTGAGGCGCAGGACCGTTGGCTTTACGTGCTCTATGAGCACTCTTCCCAACTCCGGGCTATTACTGAGACTTACTATACAGAAAGACTCAATAACTAAACTCGGCCCGACCCGGGACTCGAACCCAGGACCTCCGAGTGTGCAGCCGTACATGCTAGCCACTAACCCACCGAGGCAGTTGCCTCGGTGGTGTAGTGTATTGTATGTATTGATAAATTTGTTACTACATATTATGAAATAATCATTGGATAACATAGAAAAACTTTTTTCAGAATATAATTATGAAGATGAATGTGAAGGTATATTTTATTCGACTAAATGTTTATACGAAGATAATCCTGCGAACTTTATATTCCCTTAACCAGAAGGCACTTTAAATAAACAAAGAGATCGAGGACTATCATATAAAATATATAATTTCTCGTACAGAAGCAAAAACATTTTTAACTCTTGATATTCAAAAGTGCAAAGTGTGCATCATGATATTATTATAACGTAATAAGTGACATAAATTATTAATTTATATTCATAATAAATTTACTATTAAATGTAGATGATTTTGCAAAATCTTTCCTTATTTTTACCCGACTGCGCAGAAGGAGGGTTATGATTTTCCAGTGTATGTACGAGTATGTATGTATAATTCTTTGGCATCCTCTGTAGCCTAAACGGCTTCATGGATTTTAGAGGTGTCTTTAAATTCGTCTTAATTGTGAGAGTGATACTGGGTACATCAAAATTATAAAAATTAAAATAAGAATTTAATTTTTGTTTCGCTGAAAACATAAAGGGTGGGGTTTCAAAATAAAGGGTTTTATAAATGGCTTACAAAAATATATACAACTTATATGTTTAAATGTAATTTGGCACGAGAAATGCTAAGAAACAAGAAATGAAAAATTAAAAAGATGAAAGCAAGTTGACGAAGGAATATTATGTAGTCTAAGACATACACACACGCAGCTGTTATAAAACATGTACATATTATGTCTATGTCTATTTGTTTTCATCTTAGTTCGCTTTTTACGTATAAGTCGTTCTTTTTATTTTTGTACATATTTTTTTTATTATTAGAAGTGAGATATACATAGGTTTATGCAAATAATATTAACACATAGATATATTGTTGCACAGTAATTATACTGGGTAATTTCCAATTATGTTTGTGAGAATTATTTCTTATGAACTTTGGAGTTTAATAATAAAGGATTTATATTTGTATATATATGTATTTAATTGGCTATCGATTTATAATATTAACAGAGTTGACCTTTAAATTATGTACACTATATATACTGAATAGGTACATATTTCTTCAAAAAATTGTGTTGGCACTATGTGAAATCTAATGTAACTTTATTACGCACTAGCGACTTATCCTCGCTTCGCTCGGGTGCGTCCCTAGAACGTTTTAGTTTTTTGAGCGGAACCCTAATTATTTATGAAAATAAAAGTACAACTTACTCCTTATACTATCAGCTATCTGCCATTAAAAGTTCCGTCAAAATCAGTTCAGTCATTTCGGAGATTAGCCGGAACAAACAGACAAACCAATAGACAGACACAAAAATTAAAAAAAAAATGTATTTTTCTTATAAGTACCTACTTATATAATTTCATATGCATTTAGGTAAAATCTGTTCGTTTGACATTAAAACGAGACACTTTAATTTTATTTATCTTGATAGATATTTTAAAGTCTTCATGCATTTAATAAAACATTTGAACTATGTATATTCTAACAATTTTTTCGTTGTTAGTAGAACGAGTATTGAATGCAATTAATCACAGTTTGTTAAACTAACAATTTACCAAGATAAAAAATACATATGCACATTGCAAACTACACATTTGTGGGCCAATCTATTATTAACATGTCTTTATATCAGCAGAAATACAAACAAAGTCATTATTCATTTCTTTAAAAGACATAGTTCTTCTCGTGTATTCGTATTAATGGATCAAAAAGAATTGTCGTTTTTGTTACTAGTGATCATGTTAGTTAGTAACATGGAAGCTGTAAGTATTTATATGAATATACGTTATGCCAAAAAAATTAATGTGTTTAGAATTCTACATGATTCCAGCCCTGGCCTTAATTAATATGTAAGGTAAAGGATATAATAATAAATATATACGTTAAAGGCAGGATTCCTTCAAACGAAGATTCTTCAAACTGGAGATCAAAATTCGACGAAGGGAGTCGAAATTGTTGGTTTCGACCTAGAACCGTCTTAAATGTTATGGATAAAGATTTTAAGTTAAAGACGGTGATGGGTACTCGTAAATTACGTTCGGTTTTATATAGAAGTAAAGTGAATAATTAAAAATTTGGATATGTGCTACTTGGCTCGGAAGTGCGAAGGCTACAATATGTAAATTTTAATTTAATTTACAAACTTAGTGTCATAGTTATATTTTTTTGTAAAGCATGAGTGATATATATTTTATATTTGTCAAAATATCAGACTATCATTAGATAGATAAATATGACATACGCGCGAGCGATCCTTAAACTTATATAAGAAATACCGATTTCAAAATCACCTAAAATCATTACGTTAAGGACTTTTAGGGTATTTACCTTAGGGGTATTTTTTGAATTCATATGGGACCCTCGAGGTATACATATATCTAATCTATTCATTAAAGAAAAGACTACGAAATTCGATTCACAATATGCGAAGATTAGCTTTTGGTAACGTAGCCACAAAAATATAAACAATAACAATCAAAAACAAAGAAACCGTGCATATGTCAAATTAATTTAAAATCGAAAAATATTATTGACAACTTTAACGGAGTGTCTATATTAAAGTCTGTCCTATTAAAGTATGAATAGCAACAACCGATTTTTAAAGCCAGTTCATGGAATAATACATTAATCTATTTTTACATTTATTTATATTATATTTACATCAGTGTTTTAAATTTCTTAAAAGTCCGTATAACTAACTACATGCGATTAAAATGATTTTCTTGATTATACCTAATGCGCTTTGAACGTCACGATCCAGTAAATAACTATTATTTAGTAGCTGCACATTCATGTTCGAACATATCTCTCTACTTCTATATTTATTACATATAATTTAATCCATACATTGTATATATTTAATAATTTTCTTTGTCTAACCTGCTGATATTTACCGGAATGCATTTTTAATCATTTTTTTATTTTGTAATAAGGACTATAAAAAACCTTCAAATGATGATCCACAACTAATTTTGACTAATTGAATATAATCGTAAAATTTACTTTAAAAAAAGACACTTATTTAGTGTCACTGTAAAATTTATTTCGGTACCTATTAAACTTTTTTCTCTTTTTGCGTAATTGAGCAAAAAAGTAGTCAACAAAAACAGCCAATTTTTGTTGTATATCCTCTTTATTATTATTGATCCTTGATTTTAGATGACTAGGCAACAGTTAAAAAATTCATCGAAAATGTTAAAAAAAAATTGTATGGGCAAGAATGATGTCACAGAAGGTAATGTTATGGCGCATTTCTTTTCAATTTTTCTTCTAGGATGAATTATTATATATTGTATACTTTGTTGTGCAGATTTAGTCGGGGACATAGAAAAGGGAAAATTCATAGAAGACCGAAAAGTAATGTGTTACATTGCTTGCATTTATCAAATGTCACAGATTGTATGTATCTTTTATTTTTATTAAGGTTTTAATTTTGACTTTTAAGTATTTAATTTGGCCTAGAAAAAATTATTTAATTTTGAATCAAATTCACTTGAATTTTTTTTCAATAATAAGTAATTCGTAGATATATTTAGTAGAGCTTTTAAATATGAAGATTCCCATATTTAATATCTTGTAACTTTTAAATTATCAAGTTAATTCATATTTAAAATATAGTAGCCGGCCATCTGAAATAATTGTGTTAAGGTAGTGATCTCTCTATGGTTAAATATCAACCATAATTCATTAAATCTATTTGATATTCAGGTTCTTTTTTCAATGTTAGGTATATAGATAGCCTATAAAATCCAAAAGAATTTTGCAACGGGCGCATAGATTCAGAAATTTGCACGTACGCAAATAAACTTTTCATCTTTATATTATGTAAGTACCCGTATAATTCCCCTTTGATCCCCCTCGTACTGAAGGGAGGCCCGTGCCCAGCAGTGGGACGTTAAAAAGGGCTGAATACTGGTATAATATTGATGAAGATTATCTAACATCATGCTGAATCTTTTAGTAGTGAAGTAATTAGTATATAAATAAAATGCGCGAGCGGATTCACGGGTAAAAGAAATTTAATAAATTTTTACTTTATGCAGTACTATATGAATTTTAACTATGCCAAAGCTCATATTTTTTCATATATGCAATATACTTAAAACGGGGTTCAAAGTTTTCTCTTCATGTATTAATATATAGATATCTTAATTTTAGGTTAAAAATAACAAGCTTAATGTTGAAGCTTCTTTAAAACAAGTTGACATGATGTTTCCTCCGGAAATGAAAGATGCTACAAAAGCCTCAATAGAGAAGTGCAAAGATGTATGTAAGTATATTTTTCTGTACATTTCGCGGTGTTGAAAACCACCACCTAACATCCCTAAACGTCTTAATAATGAATATTTTAAGAGCACGACTCATAACAATAATTGTGTTTCCCGACTTCCAAAAAGGATGAGGTTCTATGTTCGTCTGTATCTTTTTAGCGTATTTTTATTTTTTTATAAATTAGTAAATCCATACTAATATTATAAACGTGAAAGTGTGTTTGTTTGTTTGTCCTTCTTTCACGTCAAAACGGAATGACGGATTCGCATGATTTTTTTGAGTGGAGACAGTTGGAGGGCTGGAGAGCGACATAGGCTACTTTTTACCACGGGAGATCATCTAATTCCCACGGAAAAACACGTTATAATACAATCCAAGTACTTGAAACTTGGTGTTAATACTCCTCAATAAAAATAAATAAATACGTGTTTTATCATTTTTTGAAATTCATCCTATAAGGGGGTATAGGACATGAAAGTTTGTATGAAAGTACCTTTTTAGAGATTTTTTTGTAGTTTTAGCGCGAGCGAAGTGGCGGGTTCTGCTAGTAACATATAAACATAATCAACAAAGTAAGCTTTGAGTTATTGATTAATCTAAAATGTATAATACCACATAGTTTATTAAAACCACATAGTTAATTAATGTTATACTTTTGTTCATCTAGTCGTTAAATTCTGTTCTATTTGGCAGCTAAAAAGTTCAAAGATCTGTGTGAAGCATCGTACTGGACTGCAAAATGCATCTATGAAGACAACCCGAAGAATTTCTTATTTGCATAAATATTCAAAATTAAAAAATAGACAATATAATAATTAGTAAATAAAAATATAAATGCACCTTATGTTTGTTGCTTATATATTTGTTGTTTCATTTTTTTTTATTTTAAGAAGCTACTGCCTACAGTATCACAATTAATATATACTAATATTATAAAGAGAGTGAGTTTGTTTATTTGTTTGTTTGTTTGTTTGTTTGTTTGTTTGTTTGTTTGTTTGTTTGTTTGTTTGAACGCGCTAATCTCAGGAACTATTAATTCGATTTGAACAGTTATTTTTGCATTACGTAGCCCGTTTATTTAGAAATGCTATAGGCTATATAACTACCCAAGAGAGCGGAGCAGTAATCATAGATATCAACAAATCGGGCAGACTTTCATATATTATTTTAAAATTAATGTTGATATTGGAAGTTTGAACGCGGAAAAAGCCGAATGAACTGCTAGTTATTTTTTTTGAAAAAGAATAATAAATAATTTTTAAAGTACAAAATTCGCAAAATAGGTTAGGTTTCTTCTAAATATCCAAAACAAAGTATTTATATCACAAATTATCTTTAAGGCGTTTAAAGCCTTTGTTTTCGGTATTTCCAGTTGTAATTGCTTCTGTAAAACAAATGCGCTGTTCTTGAAGAGTCATCATGACATCCGCGGTTGAAGGTGGAACAAAAAAATTGGCAAAAAGTAAGATTTAACGTGCTTAGTAGTTTTATTTCCTAGTGCAGCGTCATGTTTCCTTTGCTATCTTACGTGTAATTGGCACTTTAATTGAATGGCCTCTAATTGCCATATCAAGGTCTAGGTTTCCAGACTAAGATTGTATACTTTTAATACTAGAAGTGCATGCAGTGCACGAGTATAGTATATGTATAGTTGTAAAAATATAAAATATAAAAATATAATAGTCGTTGCAAAAAAGAAAAACTGTTTACATTTATTAATATTTATTGCTAATATGAATTTATAATTTACTTAATATGTAACTAAAAGGTTAATACATTCCTATCGTTTTCCCACTACTCAATACTATTTATTGACTTACAGAGCTTCAAAATATTTATTCAGCATTAAATTATTGGAATTTTTTATTGAACGTCATGAGTCTACCACCAGTTCGGAAAGAAAAAGTCTCAGACTTGAGAAAAAGTGGTGAAAGAAACTCAGAAATTATTGTTATTATTATAAATAAAATTAAAAAGAATATTATAAGTATAGGTGGAGTTCACCAAAATAAATATCAAAGTCAAAAATAATAGCGTGGTTTGCTGTTTATGCTACTCTTCTCGATTTTGCCATACATATCATTTACTTTCGTTAAACAATTGTTTTATATATATGTTTAAAACGTTATATCTTATATCTTTAAACGAGCAATTTCCATGAAATTTAGTATATAGGGGGTTTTGGGAGCGATTAATCGATCTAGATTAGTCTTATGTCTGAGAAAACGCGTGTTTTCGAGTTTTCATGCTGTTTTTTTACTAACTGTTAATTCTTTTGAGTCGTTCTTAGAAATTTACGTGTAATGCTAGCTAATCCTTCAAAATATATCAAAAGAATGTACTAGAAAAATGTAAGTCTTAATAAGACCTATAGGAAATATTTGCATAAGTCTTTCTCCTAAGGTACACTCTCAATAACTATTCACATCTATTTATATCATACCTAGCGACGCACCCGAGCGAAGCGAGTTTAAGTCTCTAGTTTATAATATTTATGTACTTGTATGGTTGATTCCTGCATGTGTTGGTTATGGATGTTGATAAGAAAGAAATATAAAAATAATATATAACTAGCGACTCACTCTCTCCGCTCGTATTCGTCCCTAGTTTCGTTTTAACGCTTAGTATAGATTTCTCTGAGAAGATTTTCCAGTAGTAAAAAGTATCCTATATGCTGACCCCAACAATCAGCTATCACCATTCCAAATTTCATCGAAATTCTTCAACTGGTATTTCCGTGATACAGTCATATAAGGACAGATAGACAGAGACATACAGACAGACAAAAAATCTAAAAACTATAGATACGGCATCTGTGATTCAGATGTAATAATGATTTCAATAAGATTTTCCAAAAAATATCTAATCTATAGTTCAAAATCTATAGTTTTTAGAATTTTTGTCTGTCTGTCTGATACCGCATCACGAGAAAACCACTGGATAGATTTTGATGAAATTTGGTATGATGATAGCTGGTTATCTAGGTCAACATATAGGATACTTTTTACCGCGGGGAAATATCTCATTTCTGAGAAAAAATACAAAAACTGCATTGTAAGAGTATACTAATATGTAAAACCTAAGAATGTGGTTTTTGGTCATCTGAATACGGGCGGAGCCACGGGCAATGCTAATGTATAGATATACTTACAGGAGATAAAAATAATATGTATATAGAGGTCATAATTAATAACATACTCGCACCATCCTTGCATAGTGTAAAATGTTGGCTTACATTTGTATGTAAATAAGGGCCATGTATGAGATAAAATAATAATAATGAGATAATTTATTATTTGCGTTAATAAATTTGCAGAACTTGTTTCAATTCCTGGCTTTGGTTGCGTGAAATTATTTTTTTCATTCAACTTCCTTCGGTAAATTCTTTTATTGTCAAATTCAGGAAGAAGTTGAAGTGTTATGTTATGGAAACGTACTTCCAGGATGGAGATAAGTGTATCCTATTGTGTTAGTCCGAAACATGATCTTATGTCGGCGCCAAGTCTCATTCACATCGGTTTAATAACTAACGCGTAATATAAATCGTTAATATTACTAAATAATTTCTTATTCAAAATATTTTTTATCGTTACAATATAAGCTATGTAAATATAATATTGTTTTATTTGACTTCGACTGTCAGTAGGTATATTTAATTATTATACATATAAAACAAATGTATGCACATTTAATTAATTATATTATTCGACCAGTTATCTCCATGTGGAATTGTGGCAAGAATGCTAGCTGCAATTCCCCTGCTGAATTGTAATGCCGATATCTTTTATCACCAGTAAGAATGATAAAATGAGGTGTCACTTTTTAACCGACTTCCAAAAAGAAGGAGGTTCTCAATTCGTCGGATTCTTTTTTTTCTCTTTTTTTATGTATGTTCACCGATTACTCGAAGACGCCTGAACCGATTTGGATTTTTTTTTCTGTTTTAAAGTGTATACTCCCGAGGTGGTCCCATATAAATTTTATCGAAATAGAGCGGTTTTTAAAAAAATCAACAATATTTTTTAAATAAATTGTTTAATCGAATATGTTATTAAAAAACTTTCTTTTTACAAATTACCTGCTTATTATGTCTACACTAAAAATGGGAAAAATAAAAACTTAAAAAATAAATAAAAACCGACTTCCAGGCACTAAAGTGTAAAAGTAACTAAAGGGGGGTTTTCATTTAGAATAGATACCTAATCAGATATTTTCGAAGTCGGTGCCATCCGACAATATTTTAGGATATGAATATCTAATAGGTAAATATATATTTTACGTACCGAAATGTATTAGATTTGCTTTGCATCGGCTAGCACCGACTTCAAAAATATCTGATTAGGTATCTATTCTAAATAGAGCAAGAGCCCGTTAACGCCAGACCTTCGTCATTTTATAAAGGCTGAAAGTTTGTCAGCGCATGCTCCCAACACAGATAAGAACAATGGACCATTATGAAGTTCAGGCTATCGTGGCTTTGGCACGTACACGGCACTAAAGATGTGTAAAATACCGATCTAAATTCTTGACGAATAATAAAGTGTGATTTTTGGTATTACCTTAAGAATATTAATAAAAATCACGTCATTCAATTCCAGACACTTAACATCGTTGCAAACCCTTGCCAGACACCCTTTTCATGAAATCATAATTCCAATCATATGGCATAATTAATGACTGTTAGTAAGTCGCTTTACGTTATTAACCGACTATCAAAAGGAGGAGGTTCTCAATTCGTTGGAATCTTTTTTTTACCCCCTGAACCAATTTGGAAATATTTTTTTTTGTTTTGAAGGATATTATACTTCCCTGGTGGTTCCATTTCTATTCTATCGAAATCAGAAAACGGTTTTTTAAAAAATCTACCATAAATAATTTTTTAATATAAATTGCTTAATCGAATATGTTATTAAAAAACTTTCCTGTTACAAATTATTACGTCTACATTTTAGTGCCTGTAAGTCGGTTATATTTTATTTCGTAAAGTTTTTAACTTAAATTTATGTATATATAACAATGTATGCACATATAAATGTATGTACATGTATGTATTTAAATGTTAAACACGTTTTTCTGATCCAATCGAATTAGAACGTGGCTTACTGATGTATGTTCAGTGACTATGGAATAAACATAAGGTTTCAGCAGCTAAGAAAAGCCAAATTGTGTTTAATTTTTTAATGTTTAACGTAGGAGACAATTCTGAGCAAAAAGCAATTACTCGAAGTTATGCTCTATAAGTATTAAAACTGATACCTACGTAAAGTATGGAAAAATACTGAATTATATTAGTCATGATTTTGCTGTTCCAACTGATAAATAGATGCATACCTACGTGATTAAATACATAAGCATATGAAATACACAATATAAATACCTATATATGAAATTTAGCAAAGACTCATCAAGAAATTAATCATTTATTTAATGATTCTACAAGATTTTTTAACATTTTAGTTTTATTGTGCTGTTAATTTTTTTTTCTTGTTACTGTGTCTATAGTTCAAGCTGTTTGACTCATTAATTAAACCTACGACCTTAGAATCTCTTAATCATTCAACTTGGCGTTATCTTCAAAGCTCGTTTTGAATTGAAAATGCACATAATTTAAAAGGAAGTATTATTAAATCTTATATTATGCAAAAAATACTTCTATGTCCAAATCGAATGTATTTTATTTTTATGGGGTCAAATCTTAATGCGATTATTTGTACTATATCGTTGTGTCGTTTAGTAATAACGAGGACAAACATACATACATACACTCATACACACATACACACATATATACAGATCAATCACATAACCCTCCTTTGGGCTTTACCGCTGTTAGGTAAAAATAAGGTACAATTTTTTAAAGGACTTTTTTATTTTAGCTTATAGTTGCAGGGCTATATGCTTCTAACATTGTGAACATTATGTCGGCATATGCAATAGTATAGGGTTATGTATGAAATTGCATTTGAGAAAAATGAACTATGCAGCTTAGCTTGCATATAATTTGCTATTTAGACGCATGTTTGTATATGATATTTACGCTTATGTAAGACTTCAATACTTATGTTTGTAAATTGTAGAAAAGCTTAGGTAATAATTTCCTTGATTTGTTCATACGTAATTAAGTCCACAGAACTCTCGTTATTTTAATTTTGATCTGAAACTATCCTCTACATTAAAAAATATTAAATATTGCAAAAAATAAGATGCCTGAGATTAAATAAAAAAAACTAAAGCTTTACTTGATAATCACCCCAACGGCTTAGTGTGCTTTTATATGTGTGGTTTATTTTTTTAAATTTCGAATTAAATTATTATTGTGTTCATTCATTTGTACAAATATATATTAATTAATCTTACGTGAATTATTTTGTATAAACTTTGTTTTAATATTTTACTTTCCGTAGCTATCACCAATGGCAATAATAATATTAATTGACATAATTTTAAAAGCAGGTTACTAGGTATTTAATGTTGCATGACGTGAATAAAGGAACCTATACCTAACAAAGATCAAAGTAACCGGTTTTCCACGTTGGTAGTAATGACTTACATGAAGTTTAGATAATTATCATCTCAGGAAAATTACTTGATCATGCTCCTTTGTATATAAATATGTAAGATCAGTTTCCTCAGCACAAGTAGTCATCAAGGAAGGCAACAGTAAACAACTGCAATCGAATTGTTTATAATACAATATTGTAAACATGAAGTCTCTACAATTTGTGTTTTTAGTTTTTGGAGTGTTAGCTGTGAGCTTAGGATCTATCAATGTAAGTAGAGAATATGAACATAGATACTTTGAAAGTTCTTATTTTAAAAAGTATTTCTCAGTGTATACGTTCATTAATTAATAAGTAAATAAATATTAATTAATATTAATTAATAAATAATTATAGCATATAATAAAAGACGGTTGAGGATGCAAAATAAAAAAAACCTATTTCAAGAGCTATTTAAAATTTATATTCAGTAAAACCTTTAAATTAATGTTATCTATTTATTTTAGTGAACATTTTGCTAAAACAAATGCCTCATATTTACGATTCTTATTGATCTTTTTTGGTATTGATGGAAAAAGAAGAAAAAATTAAAGATAAATATTTTTGATATACATACAGCATTGCATAATGCTACACATAATATTTCTTTGTTCTTATAATCTCAAAATTGAAATAAATAAGAAAGATACTTTCGGTTAACGTAGTAAAAAGTACTTATTTCTACTATATGTACGTACTAGCTTTGTTATTTGAGAAAATAAAAAAATTACACGTAAAGATAAATAATATGATAGAATTTTAAAGAAAAGTATGACATAAAAATATATTTTCAGGCTTTGTCTGATGAGGAGAGAAACAAAATTTACGCAGGAATGCTACCACATATATTGGAGTGCAGCAAAGAGTTTGGAGTTACGGAAGATCAATTAAAAGAAGCTAAAGAATCTGGCAAGATTGGTTCAGTCAACCCATGCCTTATGGGATGTGTGTTTAAGAAAATCAATGTAGTACGTATAATAAAATATACATACTTTCTGACATGATTATCATTAATCAATAATAATAAGTTACCTTCCTAACTAAATATACGCTACAATTAAGGCCAATATTAAAATAAAATCCATTTACGGATAGAACCGCTAAATTCCGGGAACGAGTGAAGACGATACGATTCATTTACTAGCGAAATTCTAGTTTATATTATTTTTTATTAACTTCAATATATATTTATTCAAAATAGTTATCTTAACTACTATATCTTTAAACTAATTTATCTAATTACCATTTTTTAGATAAATGACAAAGGTTTGTTTAATACCGATAAAGCTCAAGAGCTTAGCCAGAAGTTCTTAGGTGATGGAGGAGATCAGCAAAAGGCCACGGATGTTATTAAAAAATGCTCGTCAGGTATTTACTTAAAATATGTTTAATTACTTTAAAATGATTATGGATATTAAACTTTTTGACACATTATACATTCTTAGATTTACGCGAGTATTTGACATTTTAAATAAAACTATCTTTTCGGAATTTTTCGCGGAATTATTTAGATTTTTGGTTCCCGATGTTTCGAATGCTTTAGAGAAATCATGGTCACGGGAGAGACACGATCATGATTGCTGTAAAGCAAAAACAAAAAACAAAAGTAAAGTGTATACTTGTTACAGACTGCCTACCCACATAATAACAAAATGAAATAAAAAAATTGAAAGATGGCAATAAAGTCCAATAATTTTTGATATATTATTATTAACGAAACTGGTAGATTCACGATTTAAAAAAAAATATTTTATAGGCTATTTCTTGACGAGATCACATTATAACTCTCTTACGAGCGGTACCACGCGCAAAAGCTAGAGTTATTTGAGTAATATGATCGAAAAATATAGAATATTGTAAAATAATATGTAATGCTTATATAATTTCAGTTAATGAAGAAAATGTAAGTGATGGTGAAAAGGGATGCGACAGGGCTAAGCTTTTATTCGACTGCTTGCTTCCATTTAAATCAGAGGTAATAAATACAATGATCATAATTATTATTGATAGTATTTTCAATAATATCTATTTTATAGTTCATAAAAAAATATAACAGACTGTAGGGTCCCTAATAAAACTTCGAGATATCCCTTGCTTATATTCTTATTTTGAGTAGGTACTTTTATAATCGTCAGTGAGTTACATAATTTATAACCATAATTTTCAGTATTACAAACAATTCGTGACTAGTCACTACTGGGTAGTACCGACATATCTGTGCAAAAGCGCGGGAAAACAAATGAATATTCGCGCCCTTTTTTATTTATTGTTTAAAACACATTCCTATCGGCCAAGGTCATATGACTAAATACTAATACATAAACCATTACAAATTAATGAAATATATTATTTTCTATTAAAACGCTCAATATATAAAATTGCAACCTTAAAAGAGCAAAAATATATTTAAAAAGTGGTTTATTATTGTTTAATAATCGTAACCCACTAATAAAATATGTACTAAATATTGCTTATTCAATAATTATTTAAATATTATTTTTTTAGCAACGGGTTTTATATTTTTTTTTGTTTCAGTTCGCCATGGCCCGCTAAATGAAGTCTTCGAAAATACCATTGGTACCTCTACCTAGATCGATTTTATTTTAATGTTCCTTTGCATTGTTATGTTTATATTATGTTTATTAAAACAAAGCAAGTAATGTTTACGTGACTTTTTAATTTTCTATTAATGTCAATTAATCTTTGTCATTAGCAAATGAATTAAATTTTTTTATAATTCAAATCAAATTATAGTTTATACGAACAAACTTTTTAAACAATATCTCATGAATTAAAAATAATAAAATTACCAATAACAATTTTGAATAAATTAAAGTAATATATAAATATATGAAATTTAGTGTTTGTGTTCTATGCCTATAGTCCAAGCTGTTTGATACTTACCTTTTTTTTTATATTTGGGAAATCCTATTACGGATACCACCCGACTTCCCCCCAGGGTGGTTATGTGGAGACTCTCCGGCTAATGAGACCGGCATACCCACTAAAACCCAACTTTCCCCACAGCCGCCATGTGGGACGCCACGGGACCGCTTTCGCATACAACCGTGACGCCCCGACGGTTGGCCGAAGCCACCAACCATGAGGCCGCCCCAAGCGAGACGACCCCATTATGGGAAGACTTGCAACCCTGAACGTGAGACTGCTCCTAAGTCCACTCTGCTGAACAGAGAAGTACCCGGAGCAGCCCCACACGACCAAACACCGCCCACCGAAGTGGGCAACCTGCAAAAATAAGCGGCCTAAGCCTGTCCTTCCACACCCAAATTGGGCAACCTCCAACAACGCCCGAAACCGAGCCCACTCCAAACGGCTGCAGGAGTAGAGGATGCGACAACGCCGACACTCCCCTTCCCCTACAGCCCCACCGCGTCCACCATCAACGGTGGTGGCCTCGCTAGGCCGCGGGAGATAGGGACGAGCGGCGCATCGCATCGCAAAAAATCGCATCGCAAAAATAAGCTGTTGAATAAATACAAATAAAAGTATTTTATAGTGCTTTCAAGGTGACTTTTGAATTTACGATATTAATTATTTAAAAAAAATAACCCAATCGCATAAAAGTGAACTAAAAAGAAGATAAAAAGTTGAAGAAGAAACATAGTGTTATGCAGTCGGAGACATACACACAAGATCTCAATATGGCATAAAAATGATTTAATTTCTAAAGAATTCAACAATTATATAATGTACAGAGTAATTTTAATCAATATTAAAATTGCTTAAAGTAAATGCCACATTTGACTAGACGTGACCAGGAATATCCCTAATGATTTAAATGTTTTTTTTTGAGAATTCTTATAAAGTAAGAGATAAAATTGATACCTTAGAATGCATATTTGCAATTCTAGACTTTAAATCTAACTTTTACTACATTTTGATGTATGTCGTATGATTTTTAGCCAGAGCAAAGCAAATATATTTTTTCTTGCTGTTTAAAAATTTCTATAAAATGTATACATATACAATAAACATAAACAAAATTCATAAAAAGATTAGTTATACTAAATAAATAATTAAATAAACCGACTTTAAAAAAAATAAAAATGCTTCTAGGCACTAAAAAGTCAAACATAACTAAACGGGAGTTTTCATTTACTATAGATACCTAATCAGATATTTTCGAAGTCGGTGCCAGCAGACGTAAAGCAAATCTATTTCTATACGTATAAATATTAAACAAATCACAAATTGATGCATAATACTTTAACTATAATAGGGAATATTCGTGTGATTTAAATAAAGGTGAAATATTTTCTTTTATATTTTTTTTTTGCTTTTGAATTAAGCCTAGTACCTGGGCCACCGAGGTTCGCTCGGAGTTTTTGGTTAAAAGGTACAATTTTCTTTAAAAAAAAAACTAAAAACTTGAATAAATCCGAAAAAAACAAGAATAAATTATACCTTTGTATCCGACCAGGATTCGAACCCGGACACCTATGATTGTCGATCTTGCGTTTTAAAAAAAAACTATATACTTAAATAAATATTAAAAAATAAATAAAAGTAAAAACTTTGTTTCCTGTACCTGGGCTACCCAGCTTCACTCGGAGTTTTTGGCCTGAAGTACAATTTAGTTTTTCTTACAAAAAACTAAAAACTTGAATACATATAAAAAAAAACAAAAGTAAAAACTTCGTATGCGACCGAGATTCGAACCTGGACACCTGTGATTGTTGATCTTGCACCTTGGCCGCTTGACCACGATTCTTATTCCCGAGCGTGCAAATTACCGACCATATTTTGCGTGGAATAGCAAAAGAAAACTGCATGAAAACTTGAAAACACACGTTTTGGCAGACATAAGACTAATCTAGATCGATTTATCGCCCCCGAAACCCACAGTATGTTAAATTACATTAAAATCGTTGGAGCCGTTTCCGAGATTCAGATTATATGTTGATATATATACAAGAATTGCTCGTTTAAATATATTAGATATTAATATATTATAATGTAATTTCTTATTGATTAAGAAAATAACTATTAAAAACGGAGTGTCTATTCATTCTATAATAGGATTGTCGGCGACGGAAAACTTATCTTCGAGTAACGTGTGTATTAATATAGGGACAATGTCATTTTAGCGTATTATGAATAATTGTTGTAAATATGAAATCTCATTCTTATTAGATTTATTATGTTAAAATAAGTTCTAATTAGTGTAATAAGGTTAGTTTAGAGTATTTTTTGCTTATTTGAATCATATAAGACTATTTAACATTAATTTGAAAGGAATAGGTACGTAAGTAAAATGTTAGCATATAATTACGTAACTTGAAAATGAGATTTTTTGTTTCTTGCAATAGCATAATAGTTTATGTTTTAAATAATAGATTTTATTATAAAACTTATAATAAAACAAGAATTAGGTCGATAGGACTATCCGTTCAAAAGTTATAAGGGAAAATGTATAGTAAAAATGTAGCAACCTAGAAATTTAGATATTTTTGTTTTAAGACTTTTTTAAATAATTATTATATATTGAATATTATGTTTTAATATTGTATAATAGTATGTAAGGCATGTAAATAAATAAATATGTGTAAGGTGTTTTACTGAAACATAAAATAAAAGGACTCTCAAGGTTTCGGTTTAGGGAAATTTTATTCGAAAACGAGCTCAAAGTACGCGGCTCTCTGTAAGGTATTAACGGGCCAAATAAAAGGCGAGCCATTCTCGATTCGAGTCAGTCGCAAGACAGCCACCGAAGAGGCAACAACTAAAAGGAAAAGGAAGAACCGAAACCAAGAGAGAAAAAAGGAAAAAAATTGTGTTTTTATTTCATCGCCTCTAAGTATAGTCTCCTGTCAACGAAGAAACCCTAGTGGATCGGGACCCAAGCTACGCATTCAGGGGTGCGTGGTGGCGTACATTACCAGCGAACGGACATACTGCCGTGTACGCCAAGAACGTCTGGGAGATTGTCCCAGGTCGACCTCCGGGTACTAGACATACCCTGGTTCTGGTCGTCCGAAACAGTTGGTCCTTCGAGCCGGATCCCTGCTAGAAGAAGTTCAGAAGAAACAGAAGATTGCGTTCAAGATGCCGGTAACCAGGTCGCAGAAGGATGCCCCCTCACGTCCCGGGTCCCGTCCTTCAGATAGGGACGCGACAGATGGAACGTCGGGATCAGAAGGGGTCACGTCAGCGTCGGCGTCATCGGGAACTGCAACTACATCGAACACTTCTTCGGGTACCACGACCACGGAGGGCACCACAGTGACGGAGACTACGGTTTACGACTGCAACTACGGCGGCGTCTATGGAAGGCAACAAAGAAGATGCTGCACAGAGGATGACCAGGAAGAGCCAAGAAGATGTACCTGGAAAGGATGTTCAAAGCTCCTCCAAGACCCTGAAACCGATGGGGGTCAGTCGTCGCGCCAGGTCCACGAAGACCACGAGTTCCTCGGCCAGAAGACGCGAGCTAGAAGCAAAGGAAGAGTTGGCACGCCTGGAGTTGAAGCAAGCACAGGCTGAAACTAAGCTAGCCCGTGTCAGATTGGAGATGGCACAGTGTGAAGAAGAGGACTCCGTGGATGAAGACCTGGAAGACAGAACAGCACAGGTGCAGAACTGGATCGAGACGTCTGTGCTGGAGGATGGCAACAAAGTTCAACCAGAGATGCGAGGTCCACACCCCTTGGAAGAGCCACAGAAGATGAAGCCTGAAGAGAACTCCTCAACGAGAGGAGCTACGATTGAAATTCAAGCACTGACGGCAGCATTGAAGGAAGCTCTTACCACGCGAGGACCAGCAGGACAGCCAACCTACATTCACGAGTTACCCTACTTCGACGGCAACAGCAGCGAGTGGATGGCCTTCAAGGTTGTCTATGAAGATACAGCACCGATGGTCAACAACGTCCAGAATATGGCTCGGCTAAGAAGAGCACTGAAGGGCAACGCAAGAGAAGCTATCAAGAGTCTGCTGTACTCCGAAGCCTCTCCGATGGAAGTGATTCAAGCCCTCAGAAGAAGATATGGAAGACCAGATGCACTGATGCTGGCAGAGTTGGACAAGGTCAAAACGTTGCCGAAGATTTCTGAAAACCCAAGGGACATATGCCTCTTCGCGAGCCAGATCAGCAACAGCGTAGCGGCAATAAAAGGATTGAAGAAACCACAGTACCTGCATTCACCTGAGATGGTGAAACAAATTATTGAGAAGATGCCTACGATCCTCAAGTTCCGATGGTACGACTTCATTGAAACAACAGAAGAAGGCGAGTTCTCCGACCTAACACTGGTGTCCAAGTTCTTGAACAGAGAAGCAGACAAGTGTGGAGCCTATGCATCAACAGAAGAGAAGAGCGGGTTCAGACGGACTCATCGACAAGCAACGCATTCAACTAAGGAAAAGGACTTCAAAGAAAAGGTTTCAAGATCAGAGAAGACTTGCCCCATGTGTGAGAGTGAACACTTCCTCGTCGGGTGTCAGAAGTTCCTGAAGGCGTCTGTGCAAGATCGATGGGCAATAGTGAAGAAAAGCCGCGTTTGCTTCAAGTGTTTACAAGGGACACATC